TATATGTGTGTATATGTATATATATATATACATGTATGTATATATGTACTGCAATGTAACGTAACGTAACGTAAAGTAATGTATGTAATGCATGTAATGTATGTAATGCAATGTAATCTAGCCTAGTGTAATCTAATGTAATCTAATGTAAATGTAACGTAATGTAATGTAATGTAATGTGATGTATGTAATGTAATGTAATCTAGTGTAATCTAATGTAATCTAATGTAAATGTAATGTAATGTAACGTAATGTAATGTAAATGTAATGTAAATGTAATGAATGTAATGTAATGTAATGTAAATGTAAATGTAAATGTAATGTAAATGTAATGAATGTAATGTAATGTAATGTAACTGTCACTGTAAATGTTAATGTTAATGTAATGTACATGTATATGCAATGTAATGTAGTGCAATGTAACGTTTAGTAAGCGCAAATGTAAATGTAATGTAATGTAAACGTAAATTTAAATGTAATGTAATGTAAACGTAAATGTAAATGCAAATGTGATGCAAACGTAAATGTAAATGTAAATAGAAATATAAATGTACATGTAAATGTAATGTAATGTAAGTGTAATTAAATGTAATGTAAACGTAAATGTTAATCTTAATGTTAATGTTCATGTAAATATCATGTAAACGTAAATGTACATGTAAATATAAATGTACATGTAAATGTAAATGTAAATGTAATGTAATGTAAGTGTAATTAAATGTAATGTAAACGTAAATGTTAATCTTAATGTTAATGTTAATGTTAATATAATGTAAACGTAAATGTAAATAAAATATACATGTAAATGTAAATGTAATGTAATGTGAGTGTAATGTAATGTAATTTAATGTAAACGTAAATGTTAATCTTAATGTTAGTGTTAATATATGTTGATGCCAATGTAATTATCATGTAAAGGTAAATGTAAATGTAAATATACATGTACATGTAACGTAATGTAGTGTAATGTAATGTAATGTAATGCAATGTAATGTAATGTAATGTATATATCTTTATGTGTGTATGTATACGTATATGTATGTATGTGTTTATGTATATATATATATATATGCCTATGCGCACATACTTATACATTTGCTAAGTGAAGATTACGGATCAGAATCCAGTCCTGAATCGGGGCAACGCCTTGATCCGTGACCAGCAGATCCTCTCGGCTTCACGGGTTCCCCGGGGTTCCCCATCTGGGGACCGGGGCGGTGAAAAATGGATGCGTTTTCCAGCACTTTGGCAAGCAAAAGTGGCCTGGCTCACTGATCAAAACCCCCCCAAATGGTTGGAACAGTGGAAACCCCTAAATTTTCAAGGGTTGCAGAGATCATTCAACCGAGAGGCTTGATGTTTAAAGTGTGAATATATGTCCAGTTCGGACGTAAGTGAATGTGGTTGTCTTGGCAATTGTTGCCGACCGGTTTCGAAGAGAATGGCCAAACTGATCTCCAATTCGGCCCAGCGCCTGAACAGTCTTGAGAGGCCGAACCTGGGGAGTTTTCCAACAAGGGAGGCCCCCAAACGATAGGAGATGTATCTATATATATATATATACCCTCTGGTATTTTAACATAGCTATTCAAAATCGCCATTTATAGTTATGATTTTCCAGTTCGCTATGTTAGTTTACCAGCGGGTACATACCGAATGGGGTTCATAGATACAAATCAACTCATAACTGGGGACAATCCACGGTGAAGCCCGAGGCCTAGATCCCGATGTGAAGATGCAACTGGGCGAATCTGCCCCCTTGTTGTTCGGTGGAGGCGGCGCCAGAGGCGCGCTGCGCCCTTGGCTAGTGGTATAAATGTCTGTGGATCAGAATTAACCACCTGTGGGACCACAGGTTGAAGTCTGGTTTTGGATTTACCAATCCAACTATTGGGGCCAATTTTGACACCCAAATCCCAGGATCCAGGGACCGATTTCGAGCATGTTTGATGGACTATCCAATGATTGGGCTTCGCAATCGGGGTTTAGAAGGTGGGCCATTGAAACACGGTAGGCAGGTCCAGGTTCGATGTGTCCCGCGAGTTTCGTGAGTTTTCGCGCCTGTGAAAGTCAAGCAGATCTAACATCATGTCAATCACCAAGCTGATCACTGTCCAACCATGTACTTGGGATCTCCACATCGGCATCCTCAGGGTCTGGTCCGCGGTCGCGGTGTGGGCACTTGGAACTCTTGGAATGGAGGATTAGTGGACCAGGTTGATGGATACTTCAGCAATTGATCCACTTTGGGTAAGACTCAATTCAGCCAATTGATCAAGTTCATGGATTCCTAGGATTAATGACCTTATGAACTATGTCAGAAGGATTATGTGTTTCTGTTTTTGAGAGCTTGCTACAGTTGATGCCCTCCGTTGATCAAACATGACTTGCTGGAAAATCCCCCGTTTGTAGATGATTTTCCCAGCCATAAGTCTCCATTGATATAGGATTTCCCATATGCTCCTATGATTTTCCCATAGTTTTCCCTATTTTCCGATGATTTTCTCATATTTTCCCATTGTGTATGGAGAATCTTTCAGCCACGGTTGCCAGAGGGTACCTTAGCGCCACGCCAAGGCCTGGCATGAGATCTCCAGGCGATTCATGTGGGTCAGGGGGTTATACCGCTTCTACTCTCCTGTGTCTGTCTTTCTAGGTATCTTTCTATCTTTCTACCTATCTATCTGCATATGTTGAGCGTGTGTGTGTGTATATATGTGTGTGTGTGAATCTATATATAGTGTGTATATATAGTATAGAGAGAGAGAGAGAGTGATAGTACAGATAAATACATCATTATCTTCCTGAAACCACCAATGCCAGGTATGGCCACAAGGAGCACTGGCGTGCGGTCTGTGCCCGTGATGCCTGTGCCTCTGCAGACTGAGCTGACGGGTGGTCGAGGTGCTGCGGCGACTGGGGCTTCAGGATATTGGGTTACCCTCCGGTGTCGCCCAACATCCCATGGGAAATGGAGGTTTTACCGTCAACAAATAGGTATTTCATGGGATTTGATGAGATTTGATGTGATTCAATGGACTATCATTATGTCTAATTTATTCTTACGATCTTTGGGTTATGGTTTATGGATATAGATTGATAAGAATTGCGCAACGCTTGTTTAAAACAGTGTGTTTCGATGGATTCAATTCGAGTTTATTTTGAAAGATGTGCGAATGTCTCATATCCCACAAAAAGAAATTCGTTTTTTGGCTGTGGGAAAAACGACTCAACCATGAGATCACCACCCAGAATGGGCAAAAATGTTGGAACAAAAGATAGGGGTTAACCAACAAAATTATATAGGCAGATGAGTGATATGATCGAAAAAATGGTGTAAAGCCTGCAAAGATGTGAATAGCATCTACAAAGGTGGATAGAAGCAACAGAATCCATCGGACTATGGTCGTTTACGCTCAGAAATGTGCCACAGTCGGGATGATTGAAAGACCCACCGACCAACCACTGCGAGATATATATCTGTCTCTATCTATCTATCTATCTATCGATCTATCTATCTATATATATATGTACATTTAAATAGATAAATGTGTATATTTGTATATATAAACATGTATATATATATACATACATACACATATATACATATATACATATATACATATATACATATATATATATATACATGTTTATATATATATATTATACATTTATATATATATATGTACTAAATCTATGCATTCCCACATATTGTGGCAAAATAGCACTGATGATCGACGCACTTTTCGGATCAGGCGACACCCTGAGTGGCAGCTGGGTGCTGAGACCAAAATGTCCTCCAGGAGGATCAGCCACCTTAGTGCGGTTAAGAACCACGGTTAGTACTACTATGGATGGGCCAGCGAAATCCTGCACCAGTTGATAGGTAGTAAACATCCCATTATTTTGTTGGGTTTGAACCATCCAAAGTAGGCAGGGCCCTCAGTTTCAATGGCTTAGTTGGTTGAAACAACTAGATTCACTAGGGTTTATGGTAGATATACCGAGCTAGTTCATGGGGTGAACCTAAACCAACCAACATAACTTTTGGGCACCACCTTGCAAGGTATGTTCAAAAATCAAACAGCCCCCAAGTTGTAGTTTATTATGGGCTATACCCCTGTTTCTGAGATGTGAAATGGCCCAAAACGGGTGGTTACTGGGATGGCTTATTGTTGGTTTTGCCAAACTGGGGGAGTGATCATCCAAAAGGATCCGATTGTGTGGACCACACTTGATCCGATCCTAGTTTACCACTTTTGTTGGTGTCCGGTGTATCAATGGATTCTGGGCAAATTATAATGACATAAATATATTCGTTCTGCTTGCAGGTTTTTGTCCGGGGCCTTCGAACCAGGTGACCGAATGTGGCCGTCTTCAACCTCAAGGCATCTTAGTGGGTAGGCTGGCAATGGACACTTCAGCCAGTGCTGTTGGAGCGGCGGCTTTTGTTGTCGGCTACTGGGCGCGTGGGCTGTCCTTCTCTGAAAAGATCGAGCCTCCTGCCTGCAATTGTGTGTGTAAGGTAGAACCCTACAGCGCTCCTGCATCTCAAAATAGCGGATTCCCATTTTGGATTGTTGGATTGGTGCTTTGTATTACCTTGGTTGTACTTCTTAGCAACGTGGCCTTGGTGCTGAAAGTATCATTGAAAGACTCCAAGACTGGAACCGATCGTGAATTTCAAATTGGGGTGAAAGGAAAGAGCAAAGGGGTTTACGGCACAGCTCGTGGTCTGGCATTGACTGGATAGTATGGCTTTTCCAGCCGGCTCTTTAGTTTACCATGATTACGGAGAAGGGCCTCCTCAAGTGGTGCATACCAGATTGGTTTTGGGGCATATAGCTGGGCATGAGCATATGATTCGTACTCCCGATGGCGATACCTATATAGAAGTCCTTGATCAATCGAATCCTGATCTCGTGGGTTTCTATGTGGGGCCGGATGATGGGTCACTACCTTTGGGGGTTGCAGCAGCTTCAGTGTATGGGTTCCGGCAGATGACTCTCGCACAATACCAGCAGATCTTGGCCGATGGCCGCATTGAGGTTTTAGCTGAACAGAACCGAAGGGGTATTGTCCCTCCAGCTCCAGCCGTTTTGGGGCAACATGTGTGGGTCCTCGCAGAAAGTGTTCCTGGTCATCCTATTGGGGAGCAAGTTGTGCCACCTGTTGGGCATGCACGTGAAGGAGATTATGGGCTGATGGTTTTTGCTGACAATGAAGGTAATAGTAGACCTGTTTTGATTAGGCAATTGGCGATCGAGAACATTCCAGCTTTTTGCGAAGAGCGGATTGGTTTGGCACGGAGTTCTGAAGCATTGGAGGGAAGTGACAAGTTTGCATCAGAAGATGTTCGTACTTTAGAAGTCAGATATGCAGCTTCTGGTGAGAGACAGCGCAATTTCAAGGAGACCATTGCGGAGATGGTACAGGCTGATTTTGATGATTTCCCCCTAGAGCCTAGGACGTCACTGTCCTATTTGAGGGCAGTCTCCAGTGTGGCGGAGTCAGCCTTTGGCCAGCACCTGGGATGGGTCTCCCAGTCCAAGATTCCTGATGGTGACAGGGCCATCCATGAGAATGAGGTCTTGTCTAGGGCTTTGGACTTGGCGATCACCTATGATTCCCTTAATGTTTCAAACCTGACTAGTTTCGAGTTGCTGATTCGGAGAAAGCAACTGTTAGCTGAAGCTCATGCTTACAATCCATCGGCACCATCATATGAAGGAGCAGATCATTTCTTGGGTACATCGTATAGACCCGGTGGAGCGATCGTCGTCCCAGAGCTCACAGAACATGTCTCACGCAAGCTGCATCAGGAGTCACAGATCTTAAAGGAGAAACGCAAGCAGGCTGAGATGAAGGGCAAAGGCCCTGGGCGCGGTGGCAAACCAAGTGGCCCTCAAGCCAAGGCCAAACCAGGCCACGGTGACGGGGGCAGTGGATCGTAGGCTTCTTCGGGCTGCTCAGCTTGGCCAGGGCTGAGTGGTGTCATCCGGATCTCGCTGGCCGTGCACGATATTCACAACATTGTTTTATTTTTTGGGTTTGGACACTGGCTTAGCTTTGTTCTTTTGCCCTGCAGTTTTCGGGGAGCCTAGCAATGGTGAGACAGTGGCGCAGTCGGATTTTTCATGAACCCTGCAGTGATGGTAGGGCACGTGATGTGCTTCCCTTACCGCTGTTAGAGGATGTGGCGTCAGTGCAGGGTGACGTGTGTCGGGCGGTGCGAAGACGGATCCTCCGTAAGTCCGCTGTTGTTAAGATGGTGAACCGGGCCATTTTTTCTCTGAATTCGCTTTACATGGGGAGGCATTGGGATGAAGGGAGATGCATTGCAAAGCTAGCAGAGCTTCCTTTGTCTCAGCAAGAGTGCATTCGCGATCTGATCCGGAGAGTTGATGCATTTGGACCTATGCCTTCTGGTGCAAGTCGCCGAGGAGCCCTTGAGGCGCTCCGGGCACCATGCAATGGGTATTCCGAACCCATTGCAGGAGTGGGAGAGGTGGCTAACATGAATTTGGAGCTACTATCACTCCCTTCTGGTAGGGTCGCTGGTGTCAATCTTTCATCTGCCTTGGAACAACCCCTTAAGGATATGGTTGATAGTTTCGAGGATTGGATGTTGCAAGATGCATCAACGTGGAGTTCTATTTGCGAGCATGCTCATAAGATCAAGCCTTACAATGACCCATCGCTGTCGGATAGAAGCAAATACCTTTCTTTCCTTGCTCATTTGAATGAATGTGGCATCTTGAGTCACACCACATCGTGTAGGGGCAGGGTTGGTGCTTTTTGTGTTACCAAAAAACCAAAAGAGGTCAATGGGAAGTTTGTAGAAAGACAGAGGCTCATACTGGACTGCAGGCAGGTCAACCTTGCTTTTAGAGAACCGCCCAAATGTGAGCTCGGCAGTTTAGCTGCATTGTGCGAGGTGGAGCTGAAGGATGGTGAGAGACTTTTCTGCGGTGGGTCGGATATTCAGGACTGCTTTTATGCTGCTAAGATTTCCGCAGAGCTCTCCAATTTCTTTTGTCTTTGCCATGATCTCTCTCCAGATGAAGCACGTTTTGTTTGGGGTGATGATTTTCCTTTCCCTTCGAACCGCTCTTCGGTGTCTCCATGTATCAATGTGCTACCTATGGGTTTTAGCTGGAGTTTTTTCCTCATCCAAAAGTTGCACGAGCAGTCTGCATTGAGATCTTTGGGGGTGGGTCGTGATCGTCTTATTTTGGATGGCTATCCAGCACCAGTTTTGAGCCGTGATGATGCAGTTGCAATGCCTTATTGCGACAATGTGCACAGCTTGTCTCTGTCCAGGACTGCAGCTGATGATAGCCTTCAGCGAATGGAGGACGATTTAGAAGGGATGGGTTTTTCGTTGCATGAGCAGGTTTCATCCACGGATTTCTTTCAAACTTTGGGTGGAATAGTAGATGGTGGCACTGGTCAGATTCGTGCTACTCCAACTAGGGCATGGAACATCCTACTTGGCTTTGAGGAGGCCTTGGTTAGCAAAGTTAACTGGCAGTTTATGCAAAAGCTTTTGGGGCACGCTATGACATTGTGTGTTCTTAACAGGGCTGGCATGTCAGTTTTTAGGGCTCTCTACGATTTTGTGGAGCGAGCTGAGCAACCACGGTTTTTGAATAAGCTGGAGAGACGGGAAGTGAAAATATTTATTGGGCTAGTTCCTTTGTTGGTTGGAGAGCTTCGTCGCACTTGGTCATCCACTATCCATTGCTCTGATGCCAGTCCAGAAGGGTATGGCATTTGCAAGAGAGAGCTTCCTGAATCAGATGTCCGTGAATTGGGATCTTGGCAGGATCGATGGCGCTTCAAGCATTTGGATCCTGCAGAATGGCGCCCAAGGCAGCGCTATGCAGGACAGGATGTGTTGGGGGATCTACGCACTGCACGCAGTTTTCCTATTAGTAGCACTGTTGAGGATTTATATTCTTACAACAACAACTTCCCTGAAGTCCCCGAAGAGTACACTAAACCTGAAGACTGGTCGACTGCGCTCATGGGTCGTTGGCGTAACACTAAAGAGCATATCACTGCAAAGGAGGGTCATTCACTGGTTTTGGTAGCTAGGCATCTTTGTCGTTCAGTTCGCAATCGCAACAAGAGGCACCTGGTTTTGATTGATAGCTTTGCTCTTAGCATGACTACGTGCAAGGGTAGAGCAACCAATTTTGGTATGCTTCGGACGGCTCAAAAGGTGGCCGCGCTTAGCCTGGCAGGTGGTTTTACCCTGCGCACTAGATGGGTTCCCTCTGAACACAATGTGGCGGACGGGCCATCAAGGGGTCAGATCCAGCCGGGTCCTTACTCCAAGCAGTTCATCCAAGGGTCGCGCCTCCGCACCGAAGCCGAAGCGTGTGCTGAGAGGGGAGAGACTGGCGAAGAGTTCCCCGGTCAAAGCTCGATCCTTGCAGAACCCAGCTGTTGTGGAGAACAAGAAGGAGCCCTCTTTGAAAAGGACCCTGAATGGCACCACAGCCAAGAACATGCAACCAATGAAGAGACGGAGGAGGAGCCTGCAGGCAGTGGATGGGCTGACTCAAGAGGCCAACGACTTAGCAGCTCGCAGCGGACTCAGCCGACTGGAGAGAAGGTCGGTTTCAAAGGTGGTAGAGAATCAGTACGCCATCCATTACGAGAGGTTCAGAGCCTTTTGCCGGGATTCCGGAGTGGAACAACCAGCAGACTGTCAGTTGGACTCATTGCTGACAGACTTTCTGGATCACATCTTTTTGGAAGGGCGTCATGTAGCAGACGGAGAAAAAACTATGGCAAGTGTAGAGTACCATCACCACAAAGTGAGAGGAAACCTCCTTCGCACTCGAAGGGCTCTGAGAGGCTGGCGCAAGGAAGCGCCTCCCCAGAGTCGAGTTCCCATGCCCATGTTGCTGGCGTATGGTCTTGCCATGGCCTTAATGAGTCGCAGCCAAAAAGAAATGGCTGTGAAAGTCATCCTGGACTTCGACGCATATATGCGTCCGGGAGAGAGCATCGACCTGAAGAACAAGCACTTGGTCAGGCCGGTGAAGGGAGCCGGTCCCCAGTTTCTCCAATAGCTCTGAATTCAGCCGACAGAAGAATCTGGATAGGAGATGTGATTTCAACCATGATGAAGGGCAAGGACAAGGAGGCGAAGATCTTCAGTTTTTCCATGGAGGAGTTTCGCAAACAGTTTGGAGAAGTGTCAAAGATTCTAGGGATTCCCGGTCTCCACCCTTACCAACTCAGACATGGAGGGGCAGCTCACGACCTGGCCAGCAAAGCCAGGGACCACGCCCAGGTCAAGGCCAGGGGCAGATGGAGCACAGACCAGAGTGTGAGGCGTTACACCAAGACTGGAAAGATTCAGACTCTTCTAGGACAGTTGTCAAAAGGAAGTCTGGAGTACTGTCGTTGGTCTCAGCGAAATCTGAAGTCAGTGATGAGCGGCCGCATGCAGCCAAAGAGGCTGTGACACCTCCTTGGGAAATAGATGTTTTCACCCTAACCGATCTTCCTGCACACTTTGCCTTAGAGATTTTTGCTGGCACAGCTCGCGTCTGCAGAGAGATCAACAAGTTGGGCATTGTTTGTTTTCCTATTGATGTGTGTTTGTTTCAGCACCATAATGTCCTGAACACGAATATCGAGCACAAGATCTTCAATTGGATTCGATCGGGTCGGGTGGTTTTCGTTTGGTGTGGCATGCCCTGCACTTCCTTTTCCAGAGCGAGAAAGTGGGATGGTTTAGGTCCTGGTCCTCTTCGTTCAGAACATTATCTATGGGGATTACCTGGTTTGACTTATGCTGACCATCGTAAGGTTACCGTTGGAAACTTATTGCTGCGGTGGAGTGTTCGAATGTTTCGTCTATGTATTCAACATCATGTTCCCATTGTCCTGGAGAACCCGTACTCTAGCATGGCCTGGGAGCTTCCACCTATGCGTAGATTGATGAGCACTCCTGGTTTGCATGGCGTTTCTTTGGATTATTGTCAGTTTGGAGAACTTTGGAAAAAACCTACCTACTTGATCTACTATAACATTGACATATCTGATTTGGAAAAGCAATGCCACTCCCATAGAGGTTGTTGCAGTAGAACCAAACGGCCACACATTCCGCTGGTAGGAGTCGATGCTGATGGCCTCTTCATGACTCTGAAGGCGCAACCATATCCTTGGGCTATGTGCAGTCAGCTAGCTAAATGTGTGGCCAAGGCCCTGAGGGATCAGGGGTTGGGGGTGAGGCCATTTTGAAGGCCATTACCCAGCTCAAACGAGCATGAGTCCTTTGGCAAGCAACATAGCAGCAGCTATTCTGGCCACTTGGAAAAGGATGCTTGGGAGAGTGCTGAGGACATTCGTTCTGCTTGCAGGTTTTTGTCCGGGGCCTTCGAACCAGGTGACCGAATGTGGCCGTCTTCAACCTCAAGGCATCTTAGTGGGCCACCACCGCCCCAGCCACCTACCTTTCCATTCATTCTATTTAACTCTACCAAAGGGGGTCAGGCCATTTTGAAGGCCATTACCCAGCTCAAACGAGCATGAGTCCTTTGGCAAGCAACATAGCAGCAGCTATTCTGGCCACTTGGAAAAGGATGCTTGGGAGAGTGCTGAGGACATACATATATATATACATATGGAGATATATATATATATATATACATATGTATATATATATATACATATGTATGTATATATATACATATGTATGTATATACATATATATATGGTTACAGATGGTCACAAACGCTCAGTGCGGATGACCAAAAAAGGTTTCATCATGGCTGCGGCTTCTCTCAGGTAGAAGTTATACCAACATCAGTCGCGGCCTCAGCGAGTTTTAATCATGCCGATGTATCTGGAAGTCTGGAAAGATTACCCTCTGGTAAACTAACATAGCTATGGAAAATCACCATTTTTTAATGGGAACATCAACTATAAATGGTCATGTTCAATAGCTACGTTAAATTACCAGAGGGTAACTGATTGCTGATGTTCACCCAAAGTATCATGGAAACATCCTCAGTTGATCTGGAAAGCATCAGAAGTATCATGTTTTTTCATGTTTTTTCAGTTTGATGTTCATCCCAAAAAAGTGCCCGATTTTTTTCGACCGGCCAGTGAAAGATGTTTTTTTCCATCAGTCGTCAAGGCCCGAAGGCTTCATCCATGGCAGGCTCGGGTCGCCCTACAGCATCAAAAGATATTTGGGATCCACAATCTACATGAAGAGTGACTAATGTGGATGATATGGATAAAAAAAACATCCTTCAATTCAAGATGGAACTTCAGAACTGGGAAATTTGAGAGGAAACTCATCTTCCAGATGCCATTCTTGGATTTCCATGTGAAATTTCGGCGGTAAACCCAAGAGCAAATAACTCCCTACTTTTACCAGAAATGGATTCTATAAACCATCCAAACTTGGAAGTTTATACTTGGGTTTTACCACATTGGACCCGATATCAGACCCAAAAATGCAGCAGATTCAGTATACAGCTTGGGTTTGTTTCTACAGGGTGTTTATTCACAGGGGCAAGGGATTCTGTTTTCTTCACTATCACTATTCGTGAGACTGTGATGATAGCCCCAGATTTGCTAACGAGATCTGCGACTAGGTCCTGTGTTACAAGGGATCCCTTGTTTTCCCGTTGAACTCCCGACTTTTGTAGCTCAACCTACTAACCCATCTGGGTTTATCTGAAAATGGGCTACTGTACTCCTACATCCCATTGTTTCTACTCATTTTCCCCAATTCAAATGGCCATTTCAGGTGCCAAAGCCATCAGTTCGCAGGTGCCACTTTAGCTCCGGCCTACGCTCCCAGCAGCCTGGACACCTGGTCCAACTTGTCATAAACCACCCATATGGATTGATGGTTGAAATCGCCATAAAAATACGGTAAAATTGGGCATGCTGGGTCTACTATTGCTTTAGATGAATTTTCGGCCAAGATCAGAGGGTTTTTGTTTCCACTTTGAAAGAGAAAGCTGTCGTGCGACCTTCGCGCTGATAGTGAGGCCCAGTCTACAGCCCATCTGTCCCCCAGCAGGTGATTTATGCAGGCGCAGTGATGCTCGGACTGGGGCTGCGGATGCAAACTCGCTGTGGGATGATTCCAACGAGCCTCTTCAGAATGTTGTGCAAATCCCATAGTTCGTCACCACTTATCATTTATCTCTCCCGATCACTTGCCATTATCACTAGCATTTTTACACAGAACCAGTACACATGCCCCATGAAACCCCATGAAAACCCTATATTCATCCCATATTCATCCCGTGTCATCAACGAAGTCCCAGGAGAATCTTCCGGCGCGTGCGGCTGCCCAGGCTGCTCAGGCTGCTCAGGTTCAAAGTCTCAGGGCTACCCTCTGGTAATCCAACACAAGGAAAATCCCTCAAAAAATGAGAAAATATATGGGAAATCTTGTATAAACGGACGTTTTCCATGGGAAAATATGGGAAATCCTTATCAAAAACATCTATGCTGGATTTTCCATGATGTTTCATTACCAGGGGCTATAGAACCGTATAAAAGCCATCATCTGATGCTGATATAGTTGGCTTTTTTGATGGGGATAGAGGTCAACACCTGGATAAATGATGGAATCATGGATCATCGTGATGGATCAATGGTTTGCAAATGAGCACTTCGAAAATGGAAAATGTTACCAGCGATGCTTTTCACAGGTCGGTGTTTTTTTGTGACTGGCGAGGTGAGTCGGAAATATGTCCTATCTGATAAGGTCTACGAGTCTACCATCTGAAGATCCACTAAAAGTGGTGCGAAAGATGTTGAAGAATTGTTATGTAAACATGGCCGTGAAAGTTATCAGCCATTTTTGCATCTGTAAATCAACGAGCTGGATGTTCCTCCCAAGGCACCTGCCCGTGGAGCCTTTGGCAGCTTTCCTGGCCAGAGATTCCCAGTTGGGACGGGGGTCGGCAAGACACCCAGCGGCTGTTGGATTTTGGGGGATGTAAATTGGTTCATAATTTCTACGAATTATTTTTGACTACACCTACGAATTGTGTGAGTATGAATTAATGTCAACCCCGGATTAATAAACCATGGTTTATTAATTAGGGGGGTACTCCCCAAATAGTCATAATCTGATACTTAAATGGTATCCCCCCAATTAAACAACCTAGGGGTTTATTAATCCAGGGTTGACATTAGTGAACACTAATTTACTAAGAACCCGGTTTAACATTGAAATATTGGCAAGTCGGGACTCTCAATCCATGATCGGCGAATCCCATGTTCTCCACTAGAAGAAAGCAACAAACACGGTATTTTTATGTCCCAGTACATCACTGATTGGCAGATTTTTCGATCAACTTTCTCCTAAAATTTTGCAGAGACCCAATCTTGATTGATGGTGATGCTGGCTGAGGCCTCACCCAACTCCTCGCCGAAGGTGATGGGTCCGTTTCAGGGCCCAGACCGAGTCGAATTCTGTGGCAACGCTAAGGCCAAAGGTGTCCATGAAAACTTGGACTGACAACATGTGCATACCATTGAAAGCGTAAAAGCGTTACTCATTGATGCCAGGGTTGTATAGTTCTCTGTGAAGCAGAAGTGCATCTGTCGTGTAGTGTACCAGGAGTTGCATAGTTTGTATTTTCCAGCCACTTCACAGTGTGATGGAGCCAACCTATTTTCCAGCTATGGCTTCTCAGTTGTCACCATGGTCAACTCGAGATCATGTCCAAGTCACAATGAATTCAAAAAGAATTCAAATATATGCATGCATATAGATATTTTTATACATATAGACTAGTATAATTGTGATATAAGGAGTGGATATATATATATATATATAGACAGATAGATAGATAGATAGATAAATATATAGCTAGATAGATTAGATTAGATTAGATTAGGCTAGGCTAGGCTTGGCTTGGCTAGATAGATAGATAGATAGATAGATAGATCCCCAGTTTGTTGTTGAGATTTGCTCTTCAGAATCGCGAGGCCAGTGCCAGCAACACTTCCGACACTTCCTCCAGCCCCTCGGCCAATCCTACAAGGTGCTGTAGCCTCTGCAGAAACCAGCAGAAATGGTAGGTTTAATGGGGTTTAATGTTGGGTTGTATGGTAGGTTTAATGGGCTTTAATAGGGTTTAGTAGGGTTTACTACTCTAGACAGGTTTTATGGTGGGTTTGAGATTTAGAGGGGATTGCCATTCTAAGCGTCTTATGTTTGCTGTGTTTGTTGTATTTGTTGGTTGATGACTCGATGACCCCCATGAACTAGTTCGATATATCTACCAAAAGCCATAACTTTGTTATAAGCCAACTTAGACATCCAAACTGTGGGACCCTTGCAGGGACCTTGCAGATTCACTCTGTCACTAATTGATTAACTTCAGATTTAACATCACTGGGATAAGATTAGCAGATTTGACCACAACTCAACCAGGATTCATTCCAGCGATCTGGATCTTGGTAAAACCCTTGGTCTTGTTGGATGATTTTTGTTGCTACTTCCCTTTCTGTAAGAATTTTAATTATCCTATTAAAGATTGACTCTGTTGTTTTTTTGGGTGGTGAATCTTCCTCAGCAGAAACTTTGGTTGATCTCCCAAGTTTCATCGGCGATACGGTGATGCCAAAGAGCTCAGGTGGCGAAGTTCACAGCCATATGATCGGCGTCGACTCGACTACGACTCATTTCCCTCGATCGAAAGGGCTGTGAAAATTTGAAACACGCTTGTTTTCACATAAAATCCTTCTTGAGGCTTGCGATCTTCTCGTCATCTTAGAAGCAAAAGCTTCCCGGATCTATCCATATAATATATATATAATACAATATATATATAATACAATATATATAATACAATATACATATATATAATATGTGATATAATATGTATATATATATGCTAATTTTCCATGTCATACTTGTTGGTGATTTCAATATGTTTCAAGAATCTTTTGACATAGTCATGCCAACATTTTTGGGATGATGATTTCCAATGGCAGGCATATTTTTTCACAGATACGATGAATCCCTTCCTTATCTTCCTTGAGTCAACGCCAAGTTGGAACCAGTAGATATGATATCGGTGTCACGACGTATGGGGCATTATCTATCCGCACTTTGACCTATCATAGTTGTGAGATTGCAAAACATGTTTGTTGTGTCAGTTGTATCGTGATGTTGCCTAAACGTCCCCATGTTCAATGGATGTCATATCCATGTTTTAGGCAAATTTTGCAACAAACCCTTGATATTGATGGAACATCCCATGAGTTTGCTCTGACTTGATCAAGGCAGCCTCCATCATGATTGTTAGTTTTTTGCAGCGAATGTGTCAATGATTCGGGAGCATGCGTTGCCAAACCTGATTATAACTCAATGAGCCAGCAAATTACCCATTTACCCCAATCAACTAGTAGTTTGGATGTATTACAATTACAGTGATCTCATCCAAATTGTATTTTCATAATGTTCATATATATATATAAACAGATATTTTCATATTGATATATAGATATATATACGTATAGTTATATATATATATATGTATATTAACAGATATTTTCCCCATCTACTCCCCCATTACCCACAGTTCAGCTGTGGATTTTCCCGCTCAGGTGTCCTCTACGTCACGCATGATCTCGGGCCAAAGAGCTGTGGAGGCCGTGGACGACTCCGAAAAATGGTGGAGCCATTGAAAATATATGGGATGTATCAGTTATAAACACCTGGGTGGATATTATAAACCATATATTATAGATATTTATAGATATAAACCGTTATAAACCATGATATTAATGGGATCTAATGGGATTTACTGGGATGTACCTTCTGGTAAACTAACAAAGCTATGGAAAATCACCATTTTCAACGGGTAAATCAACTATAAATGGCAATTTTCAATAGCTAACTGTTTGTTTACCAGAGGGTATCAGTTACAAACCAATATGTTCGATGGTATCTATCTTTTTCCCCACCTGCCAGGTGAGGGTCTTTAGATTTTATCAGAGTTCCCTCCCTTCCCTCCCCTCCCTTCCTCCCTCCCTCCCTTCCTTCCTCCCTCCTTCGACACTGCCGAACCTCAACCACCAGCGCCAGATGTCTGTGGGCACTGCCGGACCTCAACGGCAAGCGCCAGATGTCAGATAGAATGCCACAAAGAATGCAAAATAGAATGTCAGAATATACATACATACATACATACATACAGACAGACATACATACATACATACATCAGATAAAATGCCAAACAGAATGTCAGATAGAATGCCAGATGGAATGTCAAAACATTTATATATATATATAGAGATATGCCAGAAAGAATGTCAGAATTTATGTCCGATAGAATTCCAGATATAATATCAGAATATGTGTCAGATAGAATATAAATTGGTGGACTCGAAGAAAATACTTGATCAGTTCTCTTCTAAGCATTGCTGATGATATCCCAGGACTGTCTGTTTAAATCCCAGGTTGTGTTGAATCCAAGATTTTGCTGCTCTCGCATCAAAAACTTGTCATTTTTACCGGAAAATGATGACGAACCATGGGATGTGGGGTTCCCCTAGTTCGCGTCCTTCTTCAGGTATCAGAAGTGCCTGGCAGTCCTGTGAGGAGCTGTGGAAAACTGGTGGAAAATCCCTGAGAAAATGCGTTAATGGGAAAATCATCTGTAGATGGGTGATTTGACCATTGCCACGTTTGATTACCCGAGGTTAGATTTCAGGAAATCTGGGAAACCAATTGCATTGGTTGATTTCTCAAACCTATGTTGAGGATTGTGGCAATAATCCAGAGAAAGTGATACGTTTGTAAACTACAAGGTGATGGGTCCTTCGTACTTCATAGCTGCTATAATTTCTTTCTATGTTTTTGAGATTGACCGAACCAGCCAATGCGTCTATTTGTTTGACGGGGTATCTAAGATTTCCTATGAAATGTTCATGTTTATCCCCAGAATCACCCCAGAATCCGCAAGAATTGGGATGTATGGTAAATGTGTGATATGAACCTGTACCCAAACAAGGATTTGCTGTAGGCGACGAAAATTGCAAGGCTGACCAGCAGCAAACTGACAAAGATGAATTTAAGCAAAGAAAAAATCGAAAGTTATCGTGGAAATGACAGGTAGAAAAACTAAGAACAGGTTCAACCAACAATCTAGACTCTTGATAGGAGTTGGTTGCTGGTAGATCATGGTTCATTGTGGTGGTGCCCCAGCCGTGGTCAGTTTCCCCTTGTTGGGTAGTTTTTTATGGCTACGGTTTTGCGACGGGCCTGGAATCTCTGTGGAAAAATGGGAGAATGCGAATGATCGCCACTTCGCTGGTTGCTTTCTGGATGGCTCAACCACCGATTAGTACCATGTGAAGTTGGGTCGAAACATCAAGTCAGTGACATTTTTGGGTATTCCAAAGCAAGTTTCCGTCAAAAAGTTCAGGTCCTTTCACATGCTTTGACCATGAAAGATTGGTGTTTGACAAACAAATATAAATCATGGGTTAAACATTATGAAACCCTCATTTCCCCTCATTTTCATCGTTTAGTTTTCCCCATTCTCAGAGCCCATGGCCGTTGCTCATCTTCTGGGCTTCGTGAGGACTTTTCGCGTGGTGACGCATAGCCCTGTCTTGCCCTCCAGGCTGCATCAAGACCCAAATGGGGTTGGGTAGGGTATGGCATGATTTTCTGGCCACAATACAATACAAATGTGTGGAAGCCACAGTGTAATACAGTACGGTACAGTACAGATCGGCACATAATACAAGCATGTTCTGTTCATTCGGCTACAATACAGTATAATACTGTACAACACAGTACAATACAATGTAATATAGAATGAGAAATCAGATAAGACAATAGAATATAATATAATGTTGTATAGCATAGTACACTATCATATAATGTATTTTAATGTTGTATAATAGTATATGTTTATCTGACAGAATATCATATTATATCATTTGAGGTTGTATAATTGGATGTAATCTACATATTATGTTGATTTATGAGATATAATATACGACTATGTATACCCCCATGCCCCCATCCACAATATATGGGGTCATCCGTTTCAAAGCTCAGAGACCTGCCTCGGTAGCTCCGTAAGGACTTTGGCGGCACCAGTGAGGCGGGGCATGCCACTGAACTTGTCAGATCTGGAATCGAAGCCATTGGGGAATTGCCATTTGATAACACTGTTATTTTCTGGATACCCAGTGATATATGGGTTATCAACCACTCAGGATTTGGAATGCATTCCTAAGCTGCTTGTAAAAAAAACAGGCTGAACCAACAAGAACAAGAACAGAGCCAAATCAAGAATGGGGAAAATATCGTATTGTATACCTCTCAGTTTGCTCGATTTCCTTTTTGTTTCTATGCTGAAAACTTTAACCCCTTAAAGGAGTATAGAAGTAAAAGCTTTCGGTGCTGAAGTAGCTCTTGTTTAGATAAAGACGATCTGCCAACCACGTGTTTCACCGAGTTGGATTCTTCGCTAGGTAAACCTCCCAAGTGAGTGGTGGATGATTGCGTTAATCTTAAACCAATATATGGCTGGCTAAAAAGGACTGTAGTTTGATATCGGCGTTTCATATCCAACCTTACTTTTTTTAATATGTTCATATCCGACCAAAATTGCCATTTGGTCAACACATATGGCTGGCTAGAAAGCCCCCCCCCCGTTTGACAGGAAACCAGTTCAAGTCGATTGCTGTTCCTTTGCCAGATTGGACCCACTGTTGTTGATGGATGTCCCAATTTTGTAGACCGGCCAGAGAAAAATCTGGGAAAAGGTCCGTTCACTGTTCACCATGTTTGTAGTCTTGACTATCAGACGGGTTTAGCATGCTAGATATACCCCTTTGGTTGTCAGACGATTCTGGCTGTCTGAGAACAAAGAGACATGTTCAATAGGAACAAGATCTGCACATCAGTCATGATCATATACATACGTACGTACGTACGTTCATTCATTCATTCATTCATTCATACATACATACATACATACATATATACATGTATTTGTATATGTATATGTATATGTATACATATATGGAGCGCACTTCCAATTCAATGGGCCGAGGCAAGATGCCAGTCCGACGAAGTCCTTGCTGTGTGGGGCTCACCGATCCATGGGAAGATCAGCAAAGCCTGTGGAAAATGACTGGTAAATTTTGAAAAATCAGGAAGGAAGCTATTCCAAATCCCATTAACTATGGTTATCAAGGGTTATTAATTCTTACTAATCCTAATATCTACTGCAGGGATTCCAAACCATTTTTTTCTGTGTTCATGTTTGGTGGATCTTGGCAGTTTGGTGATGATTTTCAACCGTTGGTCACGTTTGGGCACAGTAAGTGTCAAGTGGACGGGATGTCCAAGGCATTTACACGGTGTCAATGGTGTCAATGTCTCTTGGCTGCGGTGGTCCACATTGATGCTGAACAAATGGGGACATATACCCACTACTCATACGGTTTTCGGAGCTGATCCCTTGCCATATGGGTACAAATAAAGTAGCCCAAATCTTGTGGCTCAGCATCCTCAAGAAATGACCACGAAGACCACCCTCCAGTGTCAAACAAGGAGAGCCGGAAAATCCCCGAAGTAAACTAGCACATCAGTGGCAAAATCTTCAATTTCAAATGCTTATTGTTTAAAGCCTGCCATATTTGATTCGCAGAGGGTATCTGTCAGCACTTCAACAGCTTCGCCTTCGACGGAGATCTCCTCCTCGACTACGAACCCATGGTGAAGTGCACAGTGTTTATTTCATCAACAGATTTCAACTGTTTGACAATTTTGGTGTATCGCCAAAATTACAATCTTGGTCGAGAAGATTATCAACCACTGATTTTTGTCTAGAAATCTGTTCAATTTCCAGGCACCCACTTATCTCAAGTTTTTTTTGGGGCGCCCACCTGCTTTCCACATCACTGTTAGGGAGGAGAGGCGTTCGCTGGTGCTGGCTGGGAGAAATGTGATGAAGGCAGGTGATGGGCAGGTGATGGGCTGGACGCTGATCAGTGGATTTGCCAAGAGTTGCTATTTTCAAATCTTGTGATTGTCTCAATTGATTGGATTTCAGTTCCTTTGATTCGGAAGAGGGTTTCTGTTGACGGAAAGTTTCCAGGAATCAACCCGTGATTAATTATTGACAGACATGAACCATCTGGTTGATGTAAGATACGGGGATTCTTAAAATGGGCCCGTCAATACCAGAACCGTCCGGCCAGGCGGTTCTCACCGAGCCGGTGTTCTGCGTCGCCTTTGCAGCAGCAGTTACGACGTGGTGAACCAACGGGAAAACTACCGTTCTTCAACCAAGGTGCAGTCGCCGCTGTGACGGTGCGGGGCTGTTGAGGGAAGGCTTTCATGAGGGAAATGGTATGAAATTCTCTGGAATATCTGCAGCCACCAAAGCTTGAAATGACATTCCATGATTCTCCGGGAGTTTGTGTCGTCTCTGTGCAGGCTGCAAAGACCACGAGCTGTTTCTCTGGACTCTTCAAACATCAAGATCCAGCAGCCAAGCTGCACCAAAATCGACCGTTGAAACCACCAGTTTTTACCAATAAAATAGTGGTTCCTGGAGGATGGCAATCCCAACAAATTATGCGGAAATGCTGTAGAAAACCAACCCATCTATTTTTGCCCAAAAGCAACCTTTGCTCCAGATCTACAGCTGCTAGAAGTGCGAACAGGTGATGGTCAAAGTAGGTGTCTTTCATCCTTCCACTCTTTCCAAAAAATATTGAAAAGTGAATCGCCATTGTTTTTGATGCTGATTTGGAGTTGGTGTAATATTTACATGGCTTGGATATGTCCATATCATTCTTTATCTCCATATCTTACGGGATAATGATCCTCAGGTCCCCAGCCATGTTCCCCAGGTGAAAAAAGTGGACGTGCTACTTGTGGGAGGCAGGATGCCAGGAAGTCAATTGTGCGCGTGGAAAAAGATCTGAAATCCATGCCAGTTTCGCTTGTTTGCCAGACATGTTTGAAACAAAACCTACCGAAGCACCAAGATCATTTATTCTGGAAATTCCAACAGAACAATGAAGCACCATTTCCAAATATTTAAATAAGATCTAATAAGATCCACAAACTGGAAATTGCCATAAAATCCCGACGTGAATCATTTTAGATCACATGTTGTATCACTTTTTCGTTTCAGAAGACACCTGATTTTCCGAAAAGATGGTCCGCTTTCCCAACTCTGAGGCGGCATCATGAGTGCCACCCTGGGGCTGCTTCTGAAGCAGCTGGAACCCACTTGGAAGATTGTGTCTCGGCTGCCTCGGCGGCAAGCCGGTGGCATAGCAATGAACCCGCAATGGATGCATTCGATGAGGATCTAGATTGCCGAAGCGAATCTTTCTTGACCATCATCATCATCATTCGTCATCATCATCATCATCATCATCAGTAGCAGCATCAAAAAAACATCAACATGAAAAAATATCAACATCAAAACCTGGGTCATTGTCTGAGCAGGTCATCGTGGAGCGCTTGTCCGAAGTGGCACAGGTGGGGAGTTTTCTGCCGGAGGGAATTTTCACAGAATTGCTCCAACCAATGAACCCATTAAGATCAGTAACTGAATGATAGCCACTGGGATGGAAGATTGGTCGTTTTACATTTTACCTCTCTACTCTCTATCCTATTTATCCCCAAAAGATGGTGGGGGCGTTGGGAGAATCAGCTTTCAGGAGAGCTCCAATGGTTGGAACAACGCGGGCACCGGCCATTCGGCCCTTTGTGAACCAAACTACACGCCGGAGGTTGCCGGGGATGGCTTGGGGCTGCAGGTGAAAAGCGCTTGTCGAAGCTAAAATTCCCGAGAATTCATAGGCAAAATCCAAAGGACGCCTATATCTAGTGGTAGAAGCTTCCCTGAAATTCAGCCCAATGATTGAAACAGTTTTCACATTGGCCCCCTGTTATGCAACACAACATGAATGCTAAAGTGTGCTTCCATCGCGCATGGAGTAAGATTCGGACTTTTTGGTTCCAAGTCCGAGGTCGGATTCAGTCGAGGATTCTGCAAGAAGATTTGTGGTATATGCCTCCGCTAACTTCCATTCCATTGGTCCAATCTTTGGGGAATTGCCCGTCGTGAGGCTGGCAAAAGTGTAGATATCCACAAGGCCGTCACTGCCACTTGGATGACCATCAGATTTCTCGATGGAATCCCAAATCCTAAATGGTGTTCGAACGGCGATGCAAAAAATGAAAAGGTTGCAAAACAGATGAAAATGGAATTAGAAGTGGAGACTGAGACTTTGCAGCCTTTCAGAAAGTCTAGGAATGTCGATATGTACTGAGTAGTACTGGGTATAAAAATTCTTCATGTCTCCTGAGGTGAACGAAAATTTCCAGCTCAGCCGGCAATACTGGGCCTACTTGGCACAGATGCTTTGCAGCGGTGTAAGTCTCATCAAGTTAATGCAGCCTTGGAGTCGCAGTTGTAAAAACAAGAAGCGCATCTACCGATTGTGCTGCATGCAGACTGGAAAATGCTTGGATTATATTCCAATATGTCCCAAGCACAGGTTCTCTTGTTGATCACTTATTGGTCTGTATCCTGTGGCAAATGGCTATTGATCACCACCAAGGAAAGGCTTGGTGAACCCCGACAAGTTCATCAGCACCACGCCTCACATGACCTTTGCGCATGGGGAGGAGCAGATCGCATGGCTCAAGAAGCGTGGCTCGCATCCAAAGGGCTTCCTCAATACGACCCAAATCCTTTGGCTTGACCATTTTCCCTTATTGAAACATGAAGAAACCACAAATTGGGGGAAAATCATGCATTTTCCAATGCACCCAGTCCAGCACTCAGGTTTCAAAGCCTTGCAGGATCATCCGCTCTTCCAGGGATCCCTGGCAGTCGTAGGTGCAAGTGGTTGATTTGGGTTCTGTAAAGGGTTGGAGTACATCTATGGTGACTATGTCACTACTGAGCTTTCAGCTCTGAAGCTTGCAGAAGCCACAGCTTGGTGATGGAGGATGAGGCATCAGGAAAGAGGGATGAAGATTGAAAAGCATTATCATCGGAATCGTGATCATGACCATGATGTTGATGATGTTGTTGATTAAAAATGATAATGAGGATGATGATGATGATGATGGATGATGGATGTTGGATGATGGATGATGGATGATGGATGATTGTGATGATGATGATGATGATGATGATGCTGGTGGTGATGATGATGGATGATGGATGATGGATGGTGGATGATGGATGATGATGGATGATAGATGATGATGGATGATGATGGGTGATGATGGATGACGGATGATGGATGATGGATGATGGATAAGGACGATGTTGATGATGTTGATGTTGATGATGACGACGACGATGATGATGATGATGATGATGCTGGTGAGTTTCTTGGTGCAAGTCCTCAATGACTCTGGTTTGCTTCAGTCATGATATCTGTCTGAGGAATGGAATACACCGAAGACCCTGCGACGATGAAACAGTGGGCTCCATTGATGATGGAGGGCCGCAATGGCGAAGAAAGGCAGAACAGCAGCAAGCGCGCCATTTTACGGAAGTATTGGCACAAAATATTGGATGTTTTGATTTCCGACATGACCCAATTTGGTTCCCAATCTTTTGACCCATGGGCAGTTGGTGTCTTGATGGAGTTGTGCTGTCGGTACAGCGTGCGGGAGAGCTGTGGAGGTGTGCCTTCACTCGTGTGCCCTATGGCACTGACGTGGACTTCGGTGAACTGACCAAGGCAACGTTTTCGCGGTGTTTTCATCTGTGGTCAACCCAATGCCATACACCATCCCAAAAATAACCATAAAGAGGTGATGTAATGGCTTGCCCACATTAGTCGTTGTTCTCCATGAGATAATGAACCCATTGACTTTCAGAGATTTTGGCGCAGGAGCTGACCAAAGCCTTTGTCTCCTTGGGCGGCGATGTTCAGTTGATGACCGAAGTGTGCCCTGACAGCGGGGCAGGGCAGGACGGATGCCAGAACGGTGGACAATGTGTTGAAACACAGGAGGATGAAGTTTCATTGATAAATTGCTGGTCTGTTGAATACTTTTGACAATGTTGACAGTATAAACAGTATACTGTTAATCTCTTTATCACTATCATCACCATCATCATCAACATGATTACTGTTTTGTGGGCACGATCTTCTCAAAGTGCCAGTGGGTTTCCACACTGAATCACAACGGCAGGGCTCTCGCTTCTTAAGGCTTGCAAAGGCTTGCGCGCTGGAAATTTAAGATGGAACCTCCAAAAAATTGCGATTCCAATATCAATATCATTGGCCAATGCAACTTTTATTGTAAGGTCCATGTGGGCTTTCAGCAGTGCATCTTCTCTCTGCTGTTCTTGATATTGAAGCATATTCCTGGATGGCCAACAAAAGATTGAGCAAATTGATATTATTGTTGTTGACATTGTTGTTGATATGGTTGATGTTGTTGATATTGTTGATATTGCTGATGTTGTTCATGTTGTTGATGTTGTTAATATTGTTGATGATGTTGATGATGTTGTTGTTGCTGTTGTTGCTCTTGTTGCTATTGTTGATGTTGTTGATGTTGTTGTCGTTGTCGTTGTCGTTGTCGTTGTCAGGTCGTTGTCGTTGTCGTTGTGTTGATATTGGTCGTGTTTTTATTCACGTCGCTTCGCGACGGCAACCGCCCGCACCGCATCGTTGGGCAGCCGCTCGTAACTGCCAATGATGTCGGCCATTGAGACCAAAAACATCCGAAAGTACTGATTGTCGGAAAAAAAACGCGAAGAATTTGATAGCCATGTATAGCGGACCAACGCAGTTCAAAAAATAACGAAAAACATGAAAAAACGGCGAAATTGCTGTTATTTACAGTGTTTTTGCGCGGTGAGAAGCAGAAACCACTGCAAATACCATTGTTTTTGAGGGTCAGGTGGCCAAAAACACTGTAATTTACAGTGTTTTTTTTAACCAACGTCAAAAAACACTGGTATTTACGATGTTTTCATTCACACCGTAACATAAAACAGCGTAATTTACGAGGTTTTTGGAAATTTTGAAGCTAGCCGTCAAGCATGCAGAAAACGGAAAAACACTGTAAAAACCAGTGTTTCTGCTATCACAAAACGACGAAAATCAGTCCGAAAACAGGTCCAAAAATTCAAAAATCCGCCTCCGGGCCCGGCCAGCTGCGGAACCGCAAAAAAAGATGTTGCAAACCAAAAAATTGAGGTCAAAAAGTTGAACAACACGGGGGTTTTTCACTTTTCGCTTGCCGATTTTGGACGGGTGCGTTCACGAACAGGTGTCTTCCGTACTGTTTTTTACAGTGTTTTTTGAAGGCGAGCGTCACGACCTATCAAAAACAGGAAGTTTTGGCCGAAAAATGCCCCCCCCCAGGTAAACCTGTAACCTTTTACGAGTGCCATCCGGAAGATCACGCCCCAGCACCTTCGGTGCGGACGGATTTTTATTATTACGACGACGACTACTACTACTACTATTACTACTACTATTGCCATTTATCTTCCATTTATCATCAGTTTGTTTTGTTGTTGTGAGTGTCTTTGGATCCATCCCACAATTGAGAGGACTGACTCTGCCACTGAGGTTTGACTTTGCCAAGGATGAGCTGCTCGGCCTGAGGGGGTGATTCTACATGACCTGCGTTAGATCAACATGTCGACATTTGATCTAAGAATCTTTGAATCCCACTAAAATGTCCTACATTTCTATACATTTCTCCTGTTTGAATCCCAGGATTCTCGTTTCAATGACTGTTTCTCTGACAAACTGAGGAGTGGTCTGTATGATGAGACTTGGATCGTGAAGACCAGGCGGCTTCCTGGATCAGTCGATATGTCCAAGTGAAAATGATGGATTTATCCTCAAGGCATGTCCATCATACAATGTGGTTTTCCCCATACTTTGATTTTTAAACCCATGTCACAATAGACTATCCTATAGACTATAGATAATTATGTCCGCCCTAAATACTTAGAAACCAACTTAGCTATTCAGGGAGAATCAGTTTTTAACTTTTCGATGGATGTTTTTCCCGCTAATTTTTTGGGTACTAAACCCATATCTCTAGGTCAATTATGTTGCGACCTCACATGGGGACATCATGACGTAAATGATGAGAATTGTAAGGGCAACTATCCCAAAATGACCGATTTTTTCAGGTTAGTGAATGATTAGAATTTACCCACAAATCAGATATCTATCTATGTTTGGGGGACCTCACATCGTGTTTACGACTCAAAATTATTGACCCTTATTTTGGAAAGGTGGGAGAGCTAAAATGACTAGCTATGTGTCGCCCATGTGATGAGACTGAAACTGCAACATCATGCAACATCGCATTTTTTCGGCAAAATTCTTCCACATGTCAGAATCAAGAATGATATGTTGGCAATATGTGGGTTAAAATAAGATTTCAGAAGATGGTGGCATCTCCCTGTGTCCCTTCGCCCCATTTCCCAGCGCCAGGAAGACCAAGGGCTTGAGCAGAAAACCCACGCAGTACCGTGCCCGCTTCGTCTTCATCGGCTGGGGGCCGAGATTCGGCGACCTCATGTCGGACGACGATAAGCAGGGAGAATTGTGTCCATGAGAATGGCATCCACCTATACATGTTACATAGAAATATGCCATGTGGTAAATGCAAAAATTAACTAACTCCACATTCACTAGAAAGGTTTCTATAAACCCACCAAATTTGGAGTTGTGTTTTTGTATGTCCATAATATGATACAAATATTCATGCATACATATACAGTGTACATACATTTTACATTACATCACATTACATTACCATACATACATCACATGTATCACATACATCATATGTAGATATTAGAAAATAGATAAGATGATATAATATATACATATATTATATTATATATAATATTTATTTCTTATATCACTCCTTTCAAGCCAATTTTCCATCTCCCAGGTGCTGGGGGATATGCTCTGCCCTTGTTGCAGAAGACGCGCATCCCCGAGATCCGGGGCTTCATGGGCTTCCCGCACCTTGGCGCTCGACCCAACGCACCCTGGAAACCACCCGCAAAAACGTGGAAATTCGCAACAAACCTTGGGAAAATGGTCGAAAATCATGAGAAAATGAGATTTGATTTGTAAAAATGTGGCATGTAACTAGCAGAAATGGGGATGGCATTATTATTAGTAAAGGAAACTTGGAATTCGCCAACGAAATATGAGACTTTATGCCCCCAATCTAGGTGGTAATGAGTATATCAAAAGTTGTTTGATTGGATTCATTTATTGTTCCTCAATTATTATTCCCTGGTATTTGGGCTCATGATCTTCAACGAGATTTTAGGGATGCTTTGAAATAGAAAGAACCCACCGATGGCTCACCTTCAGCCTAATAGCTGTGACACTCAAGGTAGCTGACATTAAATTGGACTATTTCAGTGGGCCCAGCATTTCCAGCTGAAGGGCCCACTTTCAACGCCGCTTCGCTGCCAGGATCAGCGGCGAATTCCTGGTGTGCCAGAACCCTGCGGCTCGGATGGGATATTTCTGGAGATCCAAGAATGAACCATGGTAGAATCCCCTGATTGAACCATGCTATAAAGATTGGTATAAAAATTATGAAAGCCGAAGATTTGCAGGATGCGTTTGAGTTTACTAGAATCGGTCAAGTGAGATGAGCCCCAGGACTTCTTTCGGTGCCCAGGATGTGGTGGAAAGACATAGCAGCAAGGTCTATGGCAAGGCAGCCATTGGTGCACCTCCCATGTCAGTGCCTTGACGACGCGGTTTTTGTGGTTGTTCTTCCGAGCCTATGGGTTGAGGCTTATATTATCCCCGTGACTCTATGATTGCGTTTTTATCCCCATGTTCCGTTGGCTTTGCTTACTCGTTTTAGGATGTTTGAATGATATGTTCTCTTTCCCACTGTTTTTTTCTCAATTGACAATTGTTTTTACCAGGGATAGAAGCACTATTAGGAGATGACTTCCAATGTGTCTCCCGGTTCTCATGTTCATCCCCAGTTCCCCACCACAGGTGCCGCATTTGGATGCCCGGAAGATCGGCGGGAAGCCGGTGCTGCTCTTTGGGCCTTTCGCGGGCTTCAGCCCCAGGCATGGGTGCTGTTTTTTCGCTGCAAAAACGATTGAAGAGGGGAAAAAAAAAAAACCATCAAATGGAGGTGTCCAAGAAGTCATGATATTGATGGGGATCCCCAAAAATAATCAGTTTCAAAACTAAAATGGTCATCCATGACTTAGATGATTCGGGGGTACCCCCATTTTAAACCCCCAAATGATTGTTGGTAGGGATTTACCTTTGCATCCTTTGGGATTCTTTTGGAGCTAGCTGGACATTTTCTGGGAGACTTGATCTGTCAAACGTTTTGGAAGATCAGATGGCCATGATGGCCATGGCAAAAAAAAAACTGGTGAAAATAATCTGCACAGAAGATAGGGGATTTTGTTTCTGCGACAAATGATGAGTCGATCTGCGATGCGACTTGCTCCACAGGAATCCCAGGAATCCCAAACACAACCAATAGGGCGCGATCGGCTTTTCACTGCGTGGATTCACGAAAATCACTGGAGTCCACGCGAGCGTTCGCGGCCAGATTTTTGAAGAGTGGTTCGTTGATGGATATCTTCAAATCTCTGAGGCAAGACATGCCGGAGGGTGTGACCTCGCAATGGCATGGGTGGTCTAAAAATCCACGGCTAGGGATTTTTGTACCGTACACACAATAGAGACTGTTCTCTTGAGAAGTGCCCAACAATGACATGATTCTGCATGGGGTCTGACGCCAGCTTTTCATCATAGGATTGTTTAGCACAGCATTTTTCTGCCACGAAAATTGTGCCAAGTAATTCCGTTGAAAGCACACGTGGTTTCGTCTCCAACAAAGCAATTCTTCCTCCTCCTTCAAACGTGACAAATCCCCACGACTTTTCAACTTACTTATCAGATACGCCAACTTGTTCCAACTTCGATTTCAAAAAACATGATCCAACTTGAATTCTCTCGATATCTCCAGTTTCAGTTCCTCCGGTCATCCCGCAGTTTCAGGCTGCACAACATCGTGCCCGCTGCAGTCGCGGGGCTACGAAACTTGGATCTCTCGTGGTATCTCGTCGGACAGCTCCTTGGCCGGGATAGCATAACTCGTCCAGGTGTGAGATGGAATATAATCACAATGGGATAGAATGGTATGTAATCATAAAGGGATATATTGGGATATGATATAATAATTTTATATCACATCTCAAGAATGAAACATCCTAAAACCATTCTTGAACCAGTCCTCTTCATTTTCAGGATCTCCAAAACTCGCCCATGAAGGGTGCTTCAAGTTTGGATTCAGATGGAAAACCTTGTCTTTCCCTTGACAACTCATTTTGTCCCCATGTTATGGTTGATCATCATTTACCTCATCATTTAATCGCCATATCTTGAGCATGAACCCCTCAAATAAAACCCACGATATCCCGCTGTGTCCGTATTTTCTCTCAATGTTCCTTTCCGTATAGTTGGTGGTTTTTTGGTGGATTATATCCCATTGGAATTGTATATATTGCTATAAATATACATGATATTATATATATATACATCTGCGATGTATCATGTGTGTATATATATATGTGTGTGTATGTATGTATTGTATATTATACATACCAGTAGTACCGCACAAGGCGGTGGCAGAAGTTTCAGAAATAGGAAACCTATAGGAGAGGTTGGTTGTTGTGACTCACGGATGGCAGGGCGAAGCCACTGATGGACCGAAAGGTGCTTGAGGTCTCATCTCTTTCTCTCTTTCTCTGGCTATTTACCTGCAGAAAGGGGTCCCTTGTTGTTTTGTCAGGGCTTTCGGTCTTGTGACTCCTCATTTTGTGGCAGGCTTTTTTTGTTGCAGGCAATTGTTTCTACCAGTGGAAGAGAACCAATATGAAAAAACGCCATGAAATTTGCGGCATCAATGCATCAATTTTGTAGTCACAGGTTCGCAACCCTGATTTGTAGCCACATAAAGGGGTGCACTACCCCCCAAATTTCGATTGACGCGCCGAGGCCACATTCAGCAATCTCTGCGATAGCATTGCTAAATGCGGCGCCCCAGGGCTGCAGTCCAGTAAGGGGTTTTGAACGGTGCATTTTGCGCGGCTGTCCGTCCCCAAATTCTGCCCCATGGCTTTGCCGGGCAAGATCCATGTAGTAGATTCTGAGGGGGTGCAGCGGCTGCTCTCCATGGGTGAGGGCGCGCAAGCGCTGAGTCAAGTTGGCGTGCATGCGGGCAACATGACAGAAATGTGTCGGCTCGTGGGGCAAGTCTGCCGCGCGGTAGGTTGTGATGCTGAAGTGCTTCCTGTCCAGCTGGCAGTGTCTGCATGTGAGTCTCATAGGCGGGGTGGTTTCGGAGGGCGTGTGTTTGCCCACAGAGAGGCCTTTGCTTGCTGATTGCTGCCGCAAGGTGCGCCATGCTCACCGGTTTCACTTGTGATTTTTAGTTCTGCCCTGCAGACTTCCAAATCGGCTAGAAAATCCGTTTGCGCTTGATGAGCGGCCAGTGGGCTTGAGCCACAGCAGCGGCATTGGGAGGGTGGCTCGGAGGCCAATCAAAAGAACGCCCCTAAGCAGTCCTCCGTTAGAAAGCAGCATCGCATGCATTGTGTAGCAAAATTTCAACATGGAACCGCATTAAGCGCTGAACCAGGAACATTCCTCGCCCTCGGAAACTGCGCAGGGTAACCTGCTTCCACGGCGGCACCCTCGGTCACAGGCGGTATCGGTTTGTCGTCATGTTATTACAACAGGATCGGTCAAGTCATGTCAGCCACGGTTAACATTGCGCCCACTTCTGTGAAGTCACGCGCTTCACAACTGCAGTGCCGAGGCTTGGGGGGCGGGTTTTCACAGTTCCGATGTGGAGGCGACGGCCGGATGGCTTGGGCATAGGCTGTGTTGAAGACCAGTGTGGATTTCCCATCCATTTGTTATTGGAATGAGCGGTGGGGCTGGGACCAATCCCGTGTTTTGCGCTGAAATCGCGCATCCCAATGGAACAGTCGAACGTACTTGATTTGCAGAGTCATGTTCAACCCGATAGATTGGCACATGCGGCGGCATGGTGAGTTGACACTTGGAAGCTAGATTCAGGTGTGGGAGGGCAAGTAGATAGCAGGCATCCTCCAACACCAACCACTCCGACAACTAGGTCAAAGTTGGTCCAATATGCCAACAAGATCCAACAAGAGTTTCCAGACAACTTCAAACGCATAGCAGTTTCCAGACAACTATGCAATTCGTGACAGCAATGCCCATGCGAGGAAGCACAGACCTTTCTAGCAAACCCTTTCCCTGTCTAGACAAGAAGGCCCTTTCTGGATAGCCATGCTGCTTTGGAAAACAATGCGTTGGAAAGCAACGCCCTGTCTTGAAAACAAGGGCCTGATAAGTCAGACCAGCTGTGTCCAGATTATTGCATGTGATGATGCGCTTGTATTTCATGTAAATTGTGTGCATTTGTGATGAATGGTTTTCAATCACGTCCCAATATATAATTCGCACAAATTGTGCGTCTGGATGGTTGAACGATTGAATAAGATTCTGTCTCAATACTTCCGACAAATAATGCTCAGTTTCAGTTTATTGGAAGACTATGCCCCGATCATGCCTGCAGATTGTTGTCAGGTTGTTGATGGTTATTGAATGATGAAGTACCATTTAATTCAGAGAAAAGCACTCATGCAGACAAATAGTGTCCAAATTGTTAGTTCCGATGTCGTGGTAAGATCGTGGTTTGTGATGACTTCCCCGCCACTTCAGACAAATGGTGTCCAAACTGTTACCTCCCCTTCTGTGGTAAGACTGTCAAAACGGGCAAGTGTAACAAAAAAGCTTAACACATTGGAAAAACTAGACGACGGATGGCCCGAGAGCGTAGAGGAGCAGAGTCTTCTATTGTTAGTATGGAGACACCATATGACAAAACAATATATTAAAGATGTATTATAGGCAGACAAGAAGAGTATCCAGACAATATAGCACAAGTACACAACAACAGTTTGCATCACAAACACTTTTACACACAGAAGCTTTTACACACAGAAACTTTTATACACAAAAGCTTTTACACAGAAAAGCTTTTACACACAGAAGCTTTTACACAGAGGCACTTTCACACACAGACGTTTTTACACAGAGGCGCTTTTACACACAGACGCTTTTACACACAGACGCTTTTACACACAGACGCTTTTACACACAAACCCTTTTACATACCAAAGCTTTTAGCCACAGAAGCTTTTACACACAGACGCTTTTACACATAGACGCTTTTGCACACAGGCGCTTTTACACACAGACACTTTTACACACAACCACTTTTACACACAAAAGCAACAGAAGCTTTTACAAACAGAAGCTTTCACACACAGACGCTTTTACACATAGACGCTTTTACACACAGGCGCTTTTACACACAGACACTTTTACATACACACACTTTGACACACAGACGCTTTTACACACAGACGCTTTTACACACAGACGCTTTGACACGCAGACGTTTTTACACACAGACGCTTTTACACACAGACGGTTTCACGAACAGACACTTTCACATACAAATACGTTTACACACGAACACTTTTACACACAGACGCTTTTACACACAGACGCTTTCACATACAGAAGCTTTTACACACAGACACTTTTTCACACAGACGCTTTTTCACACAGACGCTTTTACACACAGACACTTTTACACACAGACGCTTTTACACACAGACGCTTTTACACACAGAAGCTTTTACACACAGACCCTTTTACACAAAGAAGTTTTTACACACAGACACTTTTACACAAAGAAGCTTTTACGCACAGACGCTTTTACACGCAGACGCTTGCACACACACAGACGCTTTCACACACAAACGCCTTTACACACAAACACTTGTACACACAGACACTTTTGCACACAAAAGCTTTTACACACAGACGCTTTTACACACTAACACTTTTACACACAGACGCTTTTACACACAGACGCTTTTACATAGAGACGCTTTTACACACAGACGCTTTTACACACAAACGCTTTTACACACAGACGCTTTTGCACACACACACTTTGACACACAGACACTTTTGCACGCAGAAGCTTTTACACGCAGACGCTTTTACACACAGAAGCTTTGACACACAAACGCTTTTACACACAAACGGTTTTACACACAAAAGCTTTGACACAGAGACGCGTTTACACACTATCACTTTTACACACAGACGCTTTTACACACAGACGCTTTTACACACAGACGCGTTTACACACAGACGCTTGTACACACAGACGCTTTCACACACAGACGCGTTTACTCACAGTTATTGACGATCGAACCTCATTTCGTGCGAAAGGGTTTGCGGGACAAATGAAATCGCAATTTTACCTCAGTTTTTGTCGATCAAACCTCGTTTCGTGCGAAAGGGTTGCGCGGGACACTTTGAAATCGCAATTTTACCTCAGTTTTTTGGCGATCGAACCTCGTTTCGTGCGAAAGGGTTGCGGCGGACACTTTGAAATCGCAATTTTACCTCAGTTTTTGGCGATCGAACCTCGTTTCGTGCGAAAGGGTTGCGGCGGACACTTTGAAATCGCAATTTTACCTCAGTTTTTGGCGATCAAACCTCGTTTCGTGCGAAAGGGTTGCGTTTCGTGCCGTCTCGTTGGCACTGCCCCTGCCCCCGCCTTCAGAAGAGAAATAAAAGAAGGAGAGGGCAAGAGGGCAAGAGGAGAAGATGTGAAGATGTGAGGATGAGAAGATGTGAAGATGAGCAGATGTGAAGATGTGAAGATGAGCAGATGTGAAGATGAGTAGATGTGAAGATGAGAAGATGTGAAGATGAGAAGATGTGAAGATGTGAGGATGTGAAGATGAGCAGATGTGCAGATGAGAAGATGTGAAGATGTGAGGATGTGAATATGTGAAGATGAGAAGATGAGAAGATGTGAAGATGTGAGGATGTGAGGATGTGAATTTGTGAAGATGAGAAAATGTGAATGTGCGAAGATGTGAAGATGATAAGATGTGAAGATAAGAAGATGTGAAGATGAGAAGATGTGAATATGTGAGGATGAGAAGATGTGAAGATGTGAAGATAAGAAGATGATGTGAAGATAAGAAGATGAGAAGATGTGAAGATGAGAAGATGTGAAGATGTGAAGATGAGATACAGACACCCACTATTGGAAGAAGCCTGCGCTCAGACGCTCTGGGGAACAACTAGTGCATAAAAACACATCCTAATACTATCAGTCCTCAGTCCCCTCGGTCCTCTGGTCTCCTGGTCCTCTGGTTGTTTGGTCCTCCGGTGCTCTGGTCCTTTGGTCCTCCAGTCCTCTGGTCTTCTGGTCTATCTGCGTATCTGTTTGTTTACTGTATTTTTTCATCTATGTATCTGTTGATCATTATTTGTCACTATCTATCATTTTCACAATCTACCTATCTGTCTATTGATCTATCTGTCTGTCTGCCCATCCAGGAATCCATCCATCTATCTGTATCTGCCTTTGTGTCTATCCATCTATCTACCTACAAAACCTATTTGTCCATCTATTTGTGTATCTATCTATCTATCTATCTATCTGTCTATCTATCTATCTATCCTATTCTGTTCTATTCTGGTCTATTCTGTTCTATTCTATTCTAATTCTTTTCTATTCTATTTTTTCTATTCTATCTATTCTATCTATCCTATCTATTGTTTCTATTCTATCTATCCTATCTATCCTATCTATTCTTTCTATTCTATCTATTCTATCTATCCTATCTATTCTTTCTATTCTATCTATTCTATCTGATCTTTCTGATCTACCTGATCTATCAGATCTATCTATGTATCTATCTATCAAATCTATCTATCTATCTATCTATGGATCTATCTATCTGTCTATCTATCTATCTATCTCTCTCTATCTATCTATCTATCTAGCTATCTATCTATCTAGCTAGCTAGCTATCTATCTCATCTGTCTATCTAACTGTATATCTATCTATCTCCCCATCTACCTATCTAACTATCTATCTCTCTGTATGTCTGTCTTTCTATCTATCTACCTGTCTATCTGCAAGCTTGAAAACCAAGCTATTCTGCGAGACGTCCTCAGGTTTTGAACTTGACAACATCAAAAACGGAGCAATTCTGCGAGACTTCCTCAATGTCTGAACTTGACAACATCAAAAACGAAAAAATCTGCGAGACTTCTTCATTTTTCAAAGTTGACAACATCAAAAACGAACCAAGTCTGCGAGACTTCCTCAATTTTTGAACTTAACAGAAACAATTCTGCTAGACTTCTTCATTTTTCAAACTTGACAACATCAAAAACGAAGCAATTCTGCGAGACTTCCTTCAAAAATGGAAAGTTGCGTGCAGCGCTGACGGCCTCGTACCAATGCGTTTTGCGTTTTTTTCCGTCCACCTGTCTAAACTACCGGGCCTGCCACGAAAAAGTGATGCCAGGTCATACGAAGTGCTGCACCTGTCACGCAAAATCATCTCAGCAAACCTGAAGATCTGATGCTCCAAAATACAATCCCTCTCAGGAAAATCAGCACCTTGACCTCCTAACATCTCTGATGAACATGTCTCTTGTACTGCGCCTGCCACGGAAAATGCATCTTTGCAGATCCTCTTCAAATGTCCCACGACTGCCATCGTTTTTGGAAATGCTACAAAACCCTCACGTTTTGCTCACTTTTGAGAAGGTGAACGTCCAAAAGTGGTCCGAACCCCTGGTGCTTTTAACATGTTGACTTCGAAATGTGCTTCGCGCCACAACGGCGTGCACTTTTTCGACATCTCAACTTCCAAAAGTGGTCCGTCCGGACCTGGTGTGTTTTGTACATTTTGACTTCAAAATGTGCTTCGCGCCACAACGGCGACACTTTTTTCAACAGCGCAACTTCCAAGTGCTCGGAACATGTGGTGTTTTGTGCATTTTGACTTGGAAATGTGCTTCGCACCACAACGGCGTGCAATTTTTCATCTCTCATCTGGCCAGATGGCTCCGCACCCGCCGCTTTAGCGAGCCTACTGATCGACCCTCCGGAGCCACAAATCATTGGAGAAACATAGTGTTTCGCGACTTTCCTACCTTTTCGCCCACCTGCATCTTCTTTCTTCTGACTCTTTCTCTTCTCTGATCTTCTCTCTTCTACTCTTCTCTTCTCTCTGACTCTTCCCATCTCTGCTTTTCATCTGTCCATATTCTCAGAAGTTTGACTTCTAAACTTCCTTCGGTTATATATATATATCTTTTTTACATACATACATGTGTGTGTGTCCTCGTATGACCCAAACCCCATGCATGATGTGCTCAACATGTCACGCTGTCCAAAGTTTCGATGACCGAGGCTGCTGTCGACCAAGTCGCAGAAGCTCGACGAGCTGAGAAACTTCGTGCCGGAGGCTGAGGCTGGGGCCGTTCTCCGTTCAGCTCGGCTGGAAAGGCTGGTAAGGCTGCAGTTCCAGTGGATATATTAAAACTATAGTTGTGGATATATAACCATTATAGAGGTCATATATATATATAACTATAGTTTTAGAGGTTATATCCCAACCCGTGGGACATTTTACCCATGGTTATACCGAGTTGTAGCCTCAACTGCACCACCAAGTACAGCCATGAATCCATTTGTTGATCACCATTTTCCCATGTTTTTTTTTGCAATTTTGGTGCTATTTAAAGACCGTTTTCGAACACCGAATGGGATCTTATTCTTGGAATGATGACAGGAAGGTTGGTTGAAATGACTATGTTTGGTACTTGTGTAATGGTTTAATAGATATATCTGCAGCTGGATGGGTGAACATAAACTGACGTACAACGTGGCCTTCCTGTACGGAGCACCCTAAAACATCAAACATGGGACATTGACCTACCGATAGTTGCGCATGATTTAAAGGATAAATCAACTGGTGAAGGGTAGGTGAAAGTAGCTGATGGTGTAACCATTTTTCTGAAGAGGTACATTTACCTGCTAGAAACAATATTGTTTGCTCGAAACTGCCAAAAATCCACCAAGACAATCTGGTGGTTGAGATCTCGACGCCAAGTGCTCCCATGTTTGGGGGATTCGCCATCATGTACAAGTTTCCCATCCCGGTGAGAAGTTCCACAGAAAACATTGGTTTTTAGCTGCAGAAATTTGTCTACGCGGGTGATGATTCTTGTAGATCCAAACATGGGCACATTGTTCGTGTCACTTAGCTGGAGCATGTCGCCCAAAGGTTCCGAGTCTTCCCATCATATCCCAAAATTTGGATCCTGACTCCACGCCCAGCTGTCATAGAAAGTTGTCCCAGCAAAATCATCCAATTCATCAGGCAGAGGACTGGAGTTTGGTGACTGCCGGACAACGTGTGCAGATCATGAAGAAGGATCCCAAGAAGACAGGCGCGGGGATGGGTCTGGTCTTAGCAGAGTTTTCAGGTTGGTAAGGAAAAAAGGCACCTCCTAATTTGATTTTGCAAAAGGAATCAGTGAGATGGCAGAAATTGAAGTTTGCACTTTTCGCTATCTCACCCCGATTAGTTGATGAACATACTCACAAGACGGCATTTTTGTTGGCAAGCCTAGTTGTTGAGCATTGGTGAGAACCCGCGGCAAACATATGCAAACTTCTCATGTACTTATGTACTTCAGGATGCTAAAATCGCTGCACTGTTTAGAACATTCTTTGGAAATTCTTCTGTATCCAAATATTTAGCCTGATTTAGATTGGGAAAAACCATCAAAAAAATGGTTTCCATTGGTTTCCTGTAGATTTTCCATTGAGCTCTCGCTCTGTCATGAACTCAACCATGGCCAGGCGTGCTGCAATTTGGCACTGAGGCGCTGCTGTTCAAGCAGTTCAACAGATATCGATTTCCGCAAATACACACATAATATATATATATATCTCTCTCTCAAGATAGCTAGATATATCTAGATCTCCAGATATTTATAATTTTTCAGTTCCAGTTTTTAAACATGTTATAGAATTTCTCTGTTTGATCAGTACATCTAAAATTACTAGATGAATGATGAATATATCAAAAAAAACGTCTCATCTAGAATGAAACTTGAAACTATAATAGATCATATGTCCCATATCAATATCAATTGGATATTGTAGTCATATAAATATTACATCTACAATTGCATCCAAATATTTGGATCTTTCAGCTTCCCTCCGGCAATGGAAATCTCCAATTCATAGTTGATTTTTCCAGCCACGTTTGATCACCAGAAAGGAGAACTCATTATATCCGCAGTAATACCTCATTTCCAAATTACAAATCCCACCACCATATCACCACTATATCACCGAGTATAACCAGCATTTCACCCAGTAACTTTCAGGATTAGAACCACCATAGCTCCATGGATATCCCACTTAGGTCTCCAATTTTTCCAGTAGATCCCCATCATATCACCCATTCTTTTGTCTCATGAAATTCCATTGGATCCCAGTATCACCATTTTTTCACCATTTCTGGTATAGAACTGGTATAACCACCATTTTACCATGAATTTCTGGTTTTAGCCACCCAGTACAACCATCATTTTCTGGTAGCAGATCACCAGGTCATCAGCTCCGACGGCCTGGCTGGGCTGCTGGGCGCCTCCCCGGGCGCCTCCACGGCGGTGCAGGTGAGCTTAGATGTGCCGTGGAAGCAGCGGCGGAGGGAGGGATGGCTGTGGGTTGGGGGAGTTCAACCAGGAAATGGTGGCTTTTCACCGGGAAAAATTGTGGTTTGGTTGGGAAAAATAGGCAAAATGATGGAAAAATGACCCGTAACGATGGTGGGTTCACAGGCTGTTGGGGATTGGAGCAACCAAAAATCCTTGCGGATTTCCAGAACTGCAAAAAACTGTTGGTCATCTGAAATGATGGGAGATTTTTCATAGGATATATGAGCAACAATATGAACTTTTAAGCTTTGTGATTCATGATTTAAGCAGTTCAGATTTAACTTGGAAAGAATGGGATACTTCAATATACTTTTTGGAGAGCCCTCCGAGTGCAGGACCATCAGCTGGGCATGTCTGGATTCTCCCCTTGGCCGACAGACTTTTTTCACCTTCACACCCCAGCATGATGTACAGGGTGCTTTTGAGAGTCTTTATGGAGAATTCAAGGGTGATTTTTACGATGATTCAACCAACAATTGAGATTCATCCAGCACATTGTGGTTTTGTTGTTTTCATTGATTTTTGCGGATTAATGTTAGATTGGGGAATTCAATCAACTGAACCTAGTTTTTAACGAGCAAGCCCTGGTTTTGACCCACAGCAATGGGGGATCCACAAAGATAAATTTGGATAACTATGCCCGTTGAACAACGGGTACATGGTAGAAAAATGTTTTTCTCCAAAGAGTAGGAATGGGTCATGCTATGTGCAAGCCCAATTTGAACCCTTTGGGGCTTATGATAAAACTGGCCATCTGTTATCAGATGATAGTCCTAGCATGTGTATCTATGTTGGGTAATTCATCTTGCACTCCGAAATGTCGACCTTTTGAAAGTTGTGTCATGAACTGCACCACACTCCTTTTGGAAGTTGGAGGTTTGCACCCCACGGGCGCTTCGCAATTGAGGTGTTGGCGAGCTGCTTTCGTGACGACATGGAAAGGCCTGGCCGGAGAGGTGGACTGGTGCCCGGCATTCTGCACAGGTAAGAAGTGCAAGCGAGGAGAAGACTTCAGGATGATTATGAGGATGATTGAATCAATGACTGATTTACATTGATTTACTTCTTTTACGCAAAATAAAAAAGTGCAATCAGCAACTTGTCCTGCTACATCACCATTCCTCAATGATGGGCCCCAAGCAGTTTGATAACCCGGCATCATTGGGCTGACTTCCCACTTCACTAGGGATGAACAGAGTCATTTCACTCTACTAAACTAAACATAATCTACAGAAGAATATTGAAGAAAGTATCCATCATATGAACTTGCATACTGTGTATCCAATGTCCAACCCATCTATGACTGTCTAAAGTCTTTAGTTATTTGTCAATGATCATCTTTTTCACACCCAAACGATGCACAAATCAGTGACTTCCGCCCATCCCCGTCCAACAGTTCCCCAATGTATCACCCAACATGTTTGGTATCAGCATCCGTGAACTTGGGAATCCACATTTCAATCGAAAATTATTGTTGGTGATTTGTTCAATCCGTTCAACTGACAATCCCATGATATCCACATGATATGCAATGATAATCCGTCATAGTATCAGTATCAGATATCTATGTATCGATCCATATATATATATATACATACACATGATGTCCCCATGAAATCAGCCTGAAATCAGGTGGTCGCCGCAGCTGCTGACGATGATTCCGAGCTTCGGCTGTCGTCTCAGCGAGACACCCGGCCTGGCCGAGACGCTGCGACGGCGCACGGCACAGGACCTGCAGCTGTAACGCGGTCGGTGGCCGTGGCTGCTGAAAAGTTGGTGAAGTTGGTGGGTTTCAGCAGTTTCAGTGTGGTTAACATGGTTGATTTAACATGATTTAACTATAGTTGGTGGATTTCAGAGGTTCTGCCCCAGCCATCATTGTTGTAGAGGGTTAATAGATATAATCTATAACTATCATATATGCCATTATAGCTAAGTGTAGGTTTTCTTCACTGTGGTTTTCTTCGCTTAACTATAGTTAAATATAGGTTAGCCATAGGTTAACTATACTTAACTCTGGTGATGGATTGATTGGGCTACTTTCCAGGGATTGCCAGAATATATAGTTGAAAATGATGATCGCTTGTTGTCAATCAAGAAGATTATCATGGCTGATGAGCAACAGTTACCTAAGCATATGTGGAATTAATAATCCAACAATTAGTCTACCCATCTTCATTGGCCATGAATAGATGAATTAATTGAGATATCAGTTGATATGATTTTGGCAAGCTATACAAATTGGTGTACGTATGAATCTATGTCTCCATTACGTGGAGAACATGGAAGATGGGAGCACTTTTTGAGTAGAAGCTAGCTCCCGATCCATGTTCTACAAGATGAGCCGGGTAATGTTGGCTTCAGAATTTTCACCAGAATCGGAAGCAGTGTAAACAACCTGGCAGCCACAGAGGCCCCGTGGAAACACCATGGGCCACCTAAAATGGTGGCCAAGTTAGAAAAAACCTCCGGAAGCTGCAGAAGCTTGGATAAGGTCGCAATCGTTGCAGAACTTGATGCAGTTCAACCTCAAGAGATGCTTAGCCGTTTCGCCAATCATTTCATGAAAATTTGTCCAATTCTCGGGCGGCCATAGTGCCACGGCAAGGGTCGATTTGCATCGGAAAAAATGGAGCCACTGATTGCTTGCTCCAGTCCAATGAAGAAAGGGGATGAAAGAGGTACAACTGTGGAAGTGATAGCAACAAACACGTCCGTGAAGTGATTTGCAGACCTGATCCTTACATGGAGTCACTTTTTTGCTGTGCAATTTCTCCAAGCGGCAGAATGTTTATAACTAGTTCATAATTAGTACATTCACAGAGAACACACGGCACGTGTCATGACAACCTGGCACAGATCAAGTCATAGGATCGTCAGGGAATAATAACACAGCCACCCAGGGCCTCCCATTTCATGTGAAGGGTTTGGACACCGCTCTCAACGAACGTCTGAAAGTCCGGTGTTTCCGCGCGCTCACAGCGCCGCATTTCACCATGAGTGACGAGTGGGGATGCCTGGTCAAGGCCTCCAGAGACGCAGTTTCACCAAGACTGCAGCATGAGTACAGAAGAAGGGGCAAATGGTTTGTCTCTTGCAGTCAGCTGAACTGCAGGATGAGGTTGGAAGTTCTAGCTAGCTTCACCACCAGGTAAGTCTATGCAGGATTTGGGCATCAGAAATTTCAAACAATTAAACATTGGACTGTGGCTGAGGATGCTCTTTGAAGGAACCCTGGTGCTGGTCGTGGGCGGTGCTTGCCTGCGAGTTTGGTCCATGGCAGCCAAAGACCTCCAGAGGTCCGGGTTCAAAAATGGGTTGCTTGGTTTGAGTTTCTCCAAAAATCCGGCGAGAACCCTAAAATCTCCTGATTTGTCATAGTGTATCATCATTCCCCCATTGAAATGGATACAACTTGAGGAAGGAAAATCAACGATTTCCGGACCCAGACGCAAAATGGAACCTCAGTCAACCAGCCAGCTGCAGCTTAAGTTCATGCATTCAAAGTGTTTTCCATGTCCCTATTTTTGGATTCCATTTCACTAAATTGATTCATTGGGGGTATAGGTTGAACTGCTAGAAACCACCACCCGATGTCGCACGCCCTGCAGTTGTTGCCCCTGCTGTGGAGCTCTCTCAAAGGAGCTTCGGTAGGACGGCTCAGTTGAGCTCCTTGAATCGGTTGGGTGAATCCTTTGGGGGTTAACGGGCAGGTTTTTTGAGGATCTATTGGATCTATTGTGTCAACTGTCAATGGGATGTAGCCTCAGAATATTGCCATTTCATTGAGGAAAATGATGATGAAACACGGGTTTTCGATCAGACCCCTATTCTAGAAGACTAGACCAGTCTGTTTTCCACACCCCAAATGATATCGCACGTGAAATGTGTCCTTTGCATAAACTTTGCATGTAGTTTGACACAGGTACTGGCATCTTCGGGGATTAATCTTTGCTTTCCTCCCCAGCTGTATCACAGCAAAAGCAGCATTTAGATATCCCTTGCTGCTTCGTTGCTCAGGTTGTGGGGCAGTAGCTTTATCTTCATGGGAGGTGCAGCAAATGTCCGCAACTGTATCGTCGTGGACGCTTCTCACCCACCAGGCATTCCTTTCAGAATGTGTTCCATTCACCTTGATGTATCTGGTATTCAAGTTCTTTCATGAATCGACCTCAGCAGCCCCATCTGGTGTGATGCTTAATCTTGAAATACCAGTAGTACCGCACAAGGCGGTGGCGGAAGTTTCAAAAATAGGAAACCTATAGGAGAGGCTGGTTGTTGTGAATCACGGATGGCAGAGCGAAGCCACTGATGGACCGAAAGGTGGTTGAGGTCTCTCTCTCTTTCTCTCTCTTTCTCTGACTACCTATCTATCTAGCTATTTATCTATCTATCTATCTAGCTAGCTATCTATCTATCTAGCTATCTATCTATCTATCTATCTATCTGTCTATCTGTCCACCTGTCTATCTGTCTACCTGTCTATCCATCTATCTGTCTATCTGTCTACCTGTCTCTCTTTCATCTGTCTATCTGTCTATCTGTCTACCTGTCTATCTGTCTATCTATCTATCTGTCTATCTGTCTACCTGTCTATCTGTGGTGCAGTGTCATTCAGTGTAATGTAGTGTAGTGTAATGTAGTGTAGTGTAGTGTAATGTACTGTAGTGTAGTGTAACGTACTGTAGTGTAATTTAGTGTAGTGGAGTGTAGCTGTAGGTGTAGTTGTAGTGTAGTGGAGTGTAGCGTACTGTAATGTAGTGTAGTGGAAGGTACTGTAGTGTAGTGTAATGCAGTGTAGTGTAATGTAGTGTAGTGTAATGTAGTGTAGTGTAGTGGAGTGTAGTGTCGTGTAATGTAGTGTAGTGTAATGTAGTGTAGTGTAGTGTAATTGAATGTAATTGACTGCAGTGTAGTGTAGTGGAGTGTAGCGTAGTAGAATGTAGTGAAGGTGTAGTTGTAGTTGTAGTGTAGTGTAATGTATTGGAGTGTAGTGTAATGTGGTGGTTGTAGTTGAAATGCTACAAAACCCTCACGTTTTTGCTCACTTTTGACAAGGTCCACAATCCCTTGCGCCTGCGACGCGAAACGACATCTGAACCTCCTCCAAAAATGGTCCATACATGGTGTGTTTTGTACATTTTGACTTGGAAATGTGCTTCGCGCCACAACGGCGTGCACTTTTTCGACATCGCAACTTCCAAAAGTCGTCCGCACCCCTAGTGTTTTGTACATTTTCACTTGGAAATGTGCTTCGCGCCACAACGGCGTGCACTTTTTCGACATCTCAACTAGTAAAAGTGGTCCGAAGCTGGTGTGTTTTGTACATTTTGACTTCGAAATCTGCTTCGCGCCACAACAGCGTGCACTTTTTCAACATCTCAATTTCCAAAAGTGGTCCGAACGTGGTGTGCTTTGTACATTTTGACTTGGAAATGTGCTTCGCACCACAACGGCGTGCAATTTTTCATCTCTCATCTGGCCAGCTAGCTCCGCACCCGCCGCTTTAGCGAGCCTACCCTCCGGACCCACAAATCATTGGAAAAACACCGTGTTTCGCGACTTTCCTACCTTTTCGCGCATCTGCATCTTCTTTCTTCTGACTCTTTCTCTTCTACCCTTCTCTCTTCTAATCTTTCTCTTCTCTCTGACCCTTTCCATCTCTGCTTTTCATCTGTCCATATTGTCGGAAGTTTGACTTCTAAACTTCCTTCGATCAGTAAATTGTTCCAGCAAAATGGTCTCACAGAGGAACGTTCAGCAGTCTGACACTTGGCCAAGTCCCGAGCTTGGCAGGTCTTGGCATCTTTGCCCTGGTCATTGGCACAGCTCTCAACACGGACCATGGGAAGATGTTTGTTACCTTATTAGGTCAAACGTTAACCCCAAGAATGTGATGTTATTCACATCCTAACAGACCATTCTGTAGTTTTTGGATGGTAACTAAAAGGCACCAGGGTTTTAACCCATTCCCGTCATATTGGTGACAAGACCAGTTTTGCTGGGGAAAGCTGCAGGACTCACTTGGTTCCCTGGCGACCGAGTTGGTGATGGTGACACTAGCAGGGAGACGCAGACACAAGTTCAGCTCTGGAGGATTTACTGGTATTTTGTCCAGCAAAAATGGGGGTTAATGACAAATTGTGGCGGGTATGATGGGTATGTGCGGTATACGACCAATCGGCTAATTGGTGGTTTTGAGTATGTTGCTTCCATTCCCAAAAAATTGGTGATTCTCCGTGATTGACTTTTTTTTGGTTGAAATCGCGGATAGAAATCCCTCATGATGCCACTTTGAGCAAGTGTGCATTCGATCTGGCTCTCAGGCCTGGAATGATGTCGATTCACTCCACATGTCTCTAAGGTTGGCATGTTGATCACCGGATGGAGTTACAGGGACCGTGCTGTTGTGTCGTTTGTGGGGGAGGTGCTCTCCAACTTTGGAAACTGTCAACTCCGATAAATAGCTCAAAGCAAAAGTGGTTGTGAATCTTTTTGCACTGACATTTTTCAAGAGTTCTGAATCGCAAATATCAAAGCTGCGGATATTGCACTTTGGGTTCATGGTGTGCCAAAAATGTCTTAAACACTCCCACTCCATGGAGCTTCATTGTTACCAGGACTTGGCAGCACTCCCGCTCGCCAATGATAGGACTGGCGGATTAGCAAAGCACCTGGAAAAGTGGCTTCGTAATACTTAATAAAGAACTTGAAGTCACATTTTGATGTACATTTGCACGACATTTCCGGCCCCCCTCTGGATTGGAGTTTGTGCGTCTTTGAAGAAAGGTTTGTGAGAGATACCCTGTGTTGCTTGAAGGTCAGTATGGGCTTTCTAACTTGTCATTGAAGTTGGCTTATGGCCAGTCGCTTACCAGCGTCCAAAATTCCTGGTGTCAAATCAAACATCAGCTGCCGACACTTTGAAGTTTTCAAGTTGAAACGCCATATGTGGATTTGAAATGATTTGAATCCCGAAAAAAACAATTAATCCCTGTAGAATCTGAAACCGCCATTGGATTATGGCATGATTGACATGGTTACGGTTCATTGATGTTTATTGGGTTTTCATCCCACTACACCAGCGGAACCATCGATCCAAGGGACTCACCTGCAGGACACAGCCTTTAGTGGGTGATGTGTCGACCCAAGTGCCATAGGGCGTGAAGAAAATGATGTCGACGGAGAAAATGTTCGTTCTAAATCAAAATGACATACCCATCTAGTTGCTGGATGTTGGGAGGGAGTGGTTTAGAATTGGGGGTCCCAAAACTTTGCTCATGGCTGGTCCCTTTGATGAGGCCAGTCGAACAAGAAGCTGGAGCAGTGATTTGGCAAGTACCTTTCAGGTGCCATGCGGGGTGAGATCTATGGTATAATGGTACAGTTGACTCTATTTGGGATGAAGATCCAGAAACAGCAAAAACCATCAAAAACCAGCTGTTTTGAAGATTGTTCCAAGATTCCACGCGATAATGGAAGGATGCACGTCCACAAGACCCGGCCAAATCCCAGTTGGAATCTGTCAGGACCGGCCACCGATGATGCCCAGTGCCCCGCCACTGGATCCTAGCTTTGTGTGGAAGCGCAGAAACGCACTGTGAATTGGTTGGTGAAAGTGGGTGAATCGGTTGTCGTGTTTAAGGGGAATATCGGAATATGTCATATGCTGGCAAAGTGGACTTATCCGATCTTTTTGTTGCAGGGTAAGGTCATCCATGCAGTGGTGCTGTTTTTTCTTTGATGATTCAGGAGCAAATGACAAAGCTTCCTCAGTCACTCTTAGTGGAACCATCGAAAACATATACCTTGATGTGGTTGCTACCGTCCCCCACAGGACTTGCAGTCATTGGAATCCTATTCCGTTGCTCTAATGTCCACCTGTTATCGTAGGATGAGTGCTGAAAATCAGACATTTGAACCCTCGAAGGGACCTCACATTGTTCACCGATCCCAGCCCCAGGCTCAACAAGCTTTGCGTCAAGCACCTCAAGAAAGGCCCTAAAGCGGCCTCCCCGAACAAAAAGAGACGAAAATGCTTTCAGTTGTTGCATTTTCGGCCATGTCAGAAGCGAAGATGTAAACATTGCAGTTTGACTTCACGACTGTCGCTCTGAAGATAGGTTTTTTTGAGTCGATATGAGATTTGTCAAAGTTTGCCAGTCTGTCAATTGACGGATGGCCGACAACCAGTTTGGCGTTGGTCCACTCAAGTGCTCACTACTGGTGCTGCAGTTGCTACACCTTCCCAGCTTAAAAGGTCTCTTTTTTCACATGGCCAATTTTGATATTTTGCAGCCACTGTCCAGCCATTTTCTTACCGGTGAGTGCCCACAGTTTCCACAGTTTCGGCTCAAAGATGGTTTCAGTTCCTGGCTGCGATGCACGGCGCCGCTTGGCAAAGAACTAGCAGTTGGATCGAGCGAAAATGGTTTTGAAATGTGTTGAATATATTATACTCATTGATACTCCCCAAAATCCCATGATTGATCATCATACATATATATATATATGTATGTATGTATATATGTATCATCATAATTCTCCCGGTTTTATCCATTTTGCACCATTTTGGGGTATCTCTCCTATTTAAAGACCAACCCATATCCAAGAATGTATCAAAGGATCTGTTGCCATCGCTTCTTGTTTGGGGCTCCAATTCCCACGACTTTCCGAAGGCTTTAGCCGCACAAGGAGGAGAAGGCGGGTCCGTCTCCGGTGTCCAGTTGGGAGCATTTCGGGTTCTTTTCTGCCTCAGGACCCATGTTTTCCTTTTGAGCGCCGCCGTCGGCGCCTCTGCACTATGCCTGAACTCTGCCAGATCCTCAAGGTACAGACATGGCAATTGGCCAACTTATATCACTTATATCATCCCAGATTCCTCGGTCAAATTAGTGATCAAAAGTGACAAATAATCTCAGCTCGAAGCCTTTCGAAGCAGGGTGCTGTTGAGTTGGTGCTTTTGGTTTGCTTCGGAGTGTCTGGTTGTCACGTGTTGCTCAATGTCGGCAGATTGAATGGTGATCTTTGCAACATCAGTTGACACTTGAATCGATCTCGAGAAATCCCTGTTAGTGCAATATTCGGCTGCCATGCAGATTATCAGATTGTTGTGTCTACTGCAGGACCTTCTGAAATCTGTTGTGCAGATAGCCTCCCAATGACGGTTGAAGCTTCACCAGGTCCGGTGTTGGACACCACAGAGAGGTGGCATGGCCAGCGGGCAAGTGTTTGGGCCCAGGTGCCGTGGGAAGTGGCGGTTTCCATTGAATCAAATGTTAGACCCAAACTGCAGCAGATTGTCCCTTTTGACATTTGTTCAGTATCAATCAATATCAATCCTTTTTTGAGATCAAATTTTGAGCGGTGCCCATATGGATGATTGTTGTGTGGCTTGCCTCCCTTCTTTTTCAGTTCCACAGGCTTGTTTGGGGCTCTTGGATGTTTTGGGCAACCCGAGTTAAAGCAAACTGGTGCAAAGATGTTCTCGCCAGGCCGGACATTCCAGCACAGGTGCGCAAGAGCCTGGCAGCTTCTTAACATCTGTCAGATGTTTTGGTTACACTGAAGAGCTTTTGTTCGAACCCTGCAGAGGCAGACCCCTTGGTTCAGAATGCACCGCAGCTTGAGGAGACCAGGCCCAGTTGAGTTCCAGATCACCACTTTGACATGGAAATTCCCATGAAATTCCCAATGTAGCCACTTTAGTCAGTTCTCCCACTTTTTCCTGAAGGCCTGTGGATCCCTTGCCCAGCGGTATGGCCGTCACCGGGCTGCGTGGAGCTGCCGCGCCCATGGCCGTTCGGGCCACGCAGGCGGAAATGGTGGTTGGCCAATAGAAATGGTGGGATTCAGCATTGTTTAGGATGGTTAAGGATTCAATGGATGGGAAAATCTGGGGTTAAGCTGAGAGTTAAGCTGAGAAAAATGGATGGGATGAGGCTGCTTAAACCAACCAAAAATGGTGTATTCAACTTGCAAGACATGGAAATTGATGGACCAATGTACCAAAATACCGGATTGGATGGGCGTTTGGATGGGGAAACTCTTTCAGTGTAGTTTGTTTGCAGAACAGATAGGCCTCTTTGTGGTATGCTCTCGAGGGCCAATGGTTTCTTAAAAGTAATATGGCACTCGGCCCTCAGAGTCAACGGAAGGCAGAGGATCTGTCTTTTTCGTATTTCGCAAGAGCGATACCAACGCCTCATGCACCGTGCTTCTGCATGAAATTTTGCAGCGTCAGCATTCACAAATTTGTTTCACCATCACATTTCGAGCTTTTCCTCTCGCTTGAAGCAGTGCCCTGGCCAGGCAGTGCATGTGCAGCAGCGGGCGCAAGTGCGAGTGGGGTTCCAAGATGCCGGATCCACAGGGAAGCTGGGCGCCCGTCAGCTGAGAATCCTGAGGTGATTAAAGAGAAGGAGAAGCCGGACCTCGGCAAAGAGAAGTCGATGGGCCAATTTGCTCCAGGAGCTGCCAATCAACTGTCTATGAGTTAAGATGAGTATAATCAAGTCATTTCACAAGTGAATTTCCTGAGATCTGCTGTAGCTCTCCCAAACCCTTCCTGCCAGGAGCACTGGATCGAATCAAGATGCGCCTGGAAGGACAAGGTACTTACGCAGTTTCTTGGTTGCATTGCGCAACGCCTTGCGTTGCATTGTGTTGCATTGCTCTGTTTGCTCCATCCAGATGGGCAGATCACATCATTGACATGATCCGTTGCATCCCTGCCAAAGGTTATTAGTGCACTGGTCTGTTGCTCAGCGCTGCATTGGCATTTGGGGACAGGAAAAGGGATTCGAAGCTGAGGTTGTGAATATGGGCATTCGCTTGTTGAGCGGAAATTCCCCGGAGATGCTTACCCAAGTGACCTTCTCAGACACCGTGGACAAGAATGATGACTGGAAGTTTGCCATCTTTAAGTTGGCCATCTTTTCCTGGAACACTCTCATACCTGTTGATAGCGGTTGTTAGGGAAGAATTTCTCTCAGCTTGTGAAATGTGGAGGCATGGTGGCCTGTTTCTTGCGCATACTCTTGCGCTTTAGCAACTTGTGTGCTGAGTGGTGTAGGACTGGCTCGTTTGCTGTCTATTCGTTGCAGAGAAGTTGTGACAGCAATTTTTTCAGATGTCACCGTCAGCACGCCAGGTCTACGCCACCGTAGTGTTTACTCTGACGAAGATGTATGCCATGACCGTGATCGGAAACTACAAGGCAGCCTGGCCCCGGGCACGGGCACTTTGAAGGTGTCCATGGTGCAAGCCTAGCAATCAACTGCCCCAGGTAATGAGAAGCCAAGATCACCACAACCAAGCTTGAATCATCTTGAATAATGTAGGCAACCCAATAGTAAACCTACCATTCAACAAAAAAATGCCTATAATTACCACCCATAAAAATTGTGTTTTTGTGGATGGTTTATGGCATTGGGTATGCCATATTCAATGAAAACGCTGGGCTTTTTGCCTCTCCTCCGGCTTGGTCGCTTCAGGACGCACAGTTTGCAGAATTCTTTCAGGAGACGCAGAAATACCGAGCAGCAGGACCAATCAGAGTGCTGCGTTCAGATGTCATCTCTTTTTCAACGATCCCTGGTCCCTTACCCGCATAACGGTGCTATTCCTGCCCAAGCTGATGTTAAGATGGAGATTTGATTGAAATTGCCCAAGACCTTTTGCTCAACATAGAGCCCTGACATGGGGAGTGCTCGATGCTTCAATCTGATTTCTGGTGCACAGCCAGCGTCTTGCAGGATTCAAAGCCTTTTGCGCTTCTCTGGGTAGTTTCGCCTTTGCCTTCGTGACCTTTTTCCTGTTGAAGTGCAAAGCTCAGAAATAGCCAGGGAAAGCATGGAAGAACCAAATTCCATCAGCTGAAGTAGTCTTTTCCGCGTAAATCTGGCTCATTTACATCACAACACGTTTCACTTTCTTTTTGGACAGATTCTGATGGTTTCCTGAAAACTTGGCACATCTTGGCACCTTTCCCTTCTTCGTTGCAGTTTCTGAGGATCCGGGGCTGGCCTGGCATTGCAGGTTTTGCTGTTGGGGTTGGCATCGTCCTCAAGGGGATGCTGGACTTCCGTGGCATCTACCGCCGTGGCTTGGCCTATCATCCCGCCACATTGTAGCATCTCTTGACCATGGCACATATGTTATCATGGGGTATCTAATTTTGACCCTCATCCAAGATTTTTGTTAAGCCACATGCAGCAGTAGGTTCTAGGATGACAGAAGGAGAACTGGGCAGTACTCACTCACTTGTGGAGAGAAATTACGAAGGTTGAAGGAGTCCATGTCCGAAAGCTGATTGCTCAGGTGCAGGAAAGACGCTCAAGTGATGTTGTGGACTTAGGGACTCAGCACAGCATTTCTGTGATTTGTGGCATGGAGCTCCTGTTCATTGTCACCATGACTTCTGAGGCAACTGAGCTTAGAACACCTGCAGTCCCACTGTTTTTTCCTCCTTGCATGGGCCACGGCCGGCAAGAATGATCAGTGGCGTAGCACCTACAAGAGTTGCCGAGCAATTCCTTGTGTAAAGTGCTGCTGTTGCGCAGAAAGCTGCAACAAGCAGCTCCAGCAAAGTCCTTTAACATACCCAGCCATCACACATTTCGCGGAAGCTCGTGAGTCAGCTTCCAGCAACACTTGTGTTGACTCTACTGCACAGCCACAATGGTGTTCCCCCGTTACTTCCTGTCACTTTGTGAAATCTCTCCATGAAAAAAACTTATTGTTTCTTTGTGTTGCACCGTGGGTTAATGTCAATCATATATTTTTCTGAATCACAGGCTTGCTATTTCAATGAGTGATCGATTCCTCAATCCAGCCTGACAAAGTGGTTTGCGTTCTTCAAGCCTATCCGACGGAGGAGAAGCAAAATTCAGATGCATCTCCAGAGTCAATAGTTTCCCTGCAGTTCTCTGTGTTCTCCACGCTGCTTCGTTTTTTGTGCAAGCGATCTTGTACAGTGCGACAGTGCAAACGGTGGATTTGCTGCCAGATTTGCCGGCCAATCAGGTTGCACCTGCATGTGAAAGAGGCTGCACGTATAGGAATTTTTGGATCAGGGGCCAAACCTGTCCAACAAGTGCAGACACTCATGAGTCGCGCAGGATCTCCAATCAGCCACCTTCTTGGACATGTGTCTAAGAGATTTATTTTGCCAAATGAGCTGGAGTAAGTTGAAGTAATGAAATGTAATGAAATCACAATAAACCACCACAAACCACAATAAATTTGAAACTATTCAAACCATTCACTCTATTCATTCTCTTTGGAGGCGATGAGGCTTGGCCTTTGCCAAAGGGCGAGGCACTGCTCGAAGGTGCGGAGTCAGGAGCAGTGCACCGCCAGCACCGTGGCGCTGCTGAAGCCTTCGTGGAACTGCAGCGCCATGGGCGCGTTCCCCTGCTCGCAGATGTGAGGATCTCACTAGTGTCACTAGGCTTCAAATATTTTAAAACAACACAACACAAGCTAGTTACCGACATGTTGGGGAAAAAGATGAAGAAAACTTGCATGTGCAAATATGCGCAAAAGCATTTGCACAAAGTATGGACATGAGTATGTTCGCACTACACATGGATACATGCATGTGTGGAATGCCTGAATCTGCACCCTGCACAGCACTAGCATGCCAGATCTTAGCACATGTTTGTGAAAGAAATTGATCAGTGGGTGATGTTGGGAGAGAGAGATACGCATCTATATGTATGTAATGTAATGCAATGCAATGTAATGTACTTCTATGTATGCAATGTAATGTAAATGTACATGTACATGTTAACGTAATGAAATGTAATGAAATGTAGTGAAATGTAACGTAACGCCGTAACGCAATGTAATGTAATGCAACGTAACGTGATTTAATTTAATGTAATGTATGTGTGTATGTAATTATATGTGTGTAATTATATGTATGCAATATAATGCACATGAAAAGGTACATGTACATGTACGTGTAACGTAGCGTAACATAATGTATGTAGTAATGTATGTAATGTATGGTATGTGTGGTATGTATGGCTATGTATGCGTATGGTATGTATGGTATGTATGGTATGGTATGGTACGGTATGGTATGGTATTGTGTTGCCCTGCTTCTTCTTCTTCTTCTACCTCTATATCCTGGGTAGAACGGGACAGAACCCATGGATTTTGTGGCCGTCAAAAGATTAAACCCTTTCCCATGTTGACGTGCCAAGAAACTTCACTATGCTACTTGGCTTGTAAAAATTGGAAAAATTGCCAGAAAACCATTGATTTGTCGTCATTGGTCACGACTGCGAGTGGGAATTCAGATCTCTTCCCGGACTCAGTGTCTCAACGTTGACCTGCAGTAAAGGAGGAGAAATGGGGCGGCGCAAGCCGCAATGAGTGAAGCATGAGTTGTGATTGGCCTTGTGCTGCGAGTGCAGGATTGAATTGACTTTAATTTGCAGGACACAGCTGCTCCAATGGCATGACATGATGAAAGATAGATGCCAAGAAGTATCCAGCACTCAGGAGGAGCATTGTCGCTTCCAAAGAATACTTTGAATCAAAGCCACAAAACCTAATTGTGACTACTTAGTAGCCCACACATCAACTTCGAAGCAACAAAGATAACGGACAAAGGAAACTTCAGCATATCAACATTAGAGCCATGGAGACCAAGGAACAACTTCGGCACAGGACGGTGAAAGAGCTGAAGGAAATGCTGCGTTTTGGGCTTAGCCAAATATTTAGCCCTTTGAAGCAGCTTTGCTCGCCAAGGTAAAGGGCTTCTATTCCCGATCATGACTTTGTAATTAAGTTAGTTGGCAACTCTTGCTTTCGAGGGCAAAGCTAAAGTGCCTTCATCTACACGTTTTTTTTTTACTTCCAGCTGCAACTCGCCACAGATTCTTTGCATAGAGAGGTTTGGGTGCTTCCAATGGCACACGAAGGGTTTGTCCCACCCATGGCTGTTTGACAGTGTGCTTCCTTCCAACATCTGAGGGCAAGAAGGCTACAACCCGGGCGACATCATGGGCGTCGAGAAGGCGGCCATCATGACACGCTGACATGCACGAATTCTCCAACTTCTTGCAGCTGCAGGACGAACTTGTGGCAAAGTTGTGGATGCTCCGTCACAGCCTTGATGATTCTTGCGTGTCAACATTGACGAGAAGAAAATCTGGAATTTTTTGGTGTCCAGACTGACCAGGTCAAAATCCGATGGAGGAGGACTGAGCCGGGCCTGAAACTGTGAAGTTCACACGGTTTCAGTCGGGTCGGCTCAGCGCATTACAGGACCCGTATCCTCTACCACTCTATTCCAATTGTTGGACCCAGTTCATCTTGCGAGGCCTTGATTCTTGGGCAAGGTTGTGCCAAAACAATTCGCAAGAGAAAAGCTTTGGAAACATCATTCCAAGCACAACTTTGCGCCAGCCCTCTTCCTCGCTGCGCTTCAATGGATTGTTATGTCGTGCTTTATTGTCTCAAACTCAGAGGACGCGGAACTGCTGCAGCTGTGGACGATTGGTTCTCAGCATGTTTTTTTCTCCTGAGGCTATCCATTTCACCTTGCTGTCGATCCTTATAGTGGCTCTCGTATTGACTATTCGGAACATTATGGTTGGAATCTCAGTAAGTCTATTCTGTAAGACTGCTGCAAACATGAAACAAAAGTCGATGCTGAAGCCAAGGTTCGACGAGAAAAGGCTTTTCGAAGGCGGAAACGCATCTAGGGAAAAATACTAGACAATATATGAAATCTGAATGTTCTGGGACCAATGCAGCTGTGTCCAGTAAAGGAAAACGCTTCCTAACGGTTTGATCATGATAAACCATTGAATTTTGAGCTTACTATTTGAAAATTATATTTTTTGACGCCAGTGCCTTGAGCGTGATGGATTTTCTTTTCTGGATTTATTTAATTTATGTACGCTATACTGTGTCCAGTAGTAGCTCCATGAATTTTCTATTTTGAATTAAAATCAAGATTTAGAATTTTAAAATACCATAACTTGACGATTTGAATATATGGAAACCTTTGGAACCATCCAAAAGAAGAAGGTAGAAATGACTAAATGTTGAAATATCCTAACGGTTTTTGGATATATATTTGAAAATTTAAGGCTTGAAAAATTGGGACCTAATAATTATTGATGATATGGTGGTATGAAAATCACCATTAAAATTTATAAGTCGAACTCTTGAATTGATTACGAAAGGTAATTCCAGAGGGGCTACCTTGAGTTTTACTTTACGAAGTAAAGGGGAGGGCGGCTAGCTCCGTTTACTTGATTATTTAGGAAATTATTAGTTATTTGAGTATCCTTTCCCCACCCCGTGTCATTGACGGCTGGCGTCGATTTTGCGGTACTACTTCTTGTATATATAGGCAAGATGGAATGGGTTAAGGTATTTCGATATATGTAGTTATAATTCGTAATTTTTTCTTTATAATAACAATATTACATAGGATTTATCTCCGGCGCCAAGTGCCACTTTCAGAGCATGGAAGTTTTGCATTATAACATACCTGGTCCATTAATTTGACCATTGACCTGTCTATCGGTTCCATCGGTCTTATCGGCTCGGCCTTATCGGCTCGGCCTTATCGGCTCGCTCATCGGCTCGACCTCATTGGCTCGGCCTCATCGGCTCGGCGTCATCGGCTCGGCCTTATCGGCTCGGCCTTATCGGCTCGGCGTCATCGGCTCGGCCTTATCGGCTCGGCCTTATCGGCTCGGCCTCATCGGCTCGGCCTCATCGGCTCGGCCTCATCGGCTCGGCCTTATCGGCTCGGCCTCATCGACTCCAGCGGTTCCATCGCCTCCATTGGCTCCATCGGCCTTATCGGTTCTATCGGCTTTATTAGCTTTAACGATTCTAGCGGCTCCATCGGCCTACATCGGCTTGTATCGGCTCCATCGGCTCCATCGGCCTCGGCCTGATCGGCTCTAGCGTTTCGAGGAGCGGCTCCGTCGGCTTATCGGTTCCAGCGACTTGAACGGCCTTATCGGCTCCATGGGCTTTATCGACTCTAGCGTTTCTATCCACTTAATCAACCACATCGGCCTTATGGTCGGCCTTAGCTCGATCGGCCTTATCGACTCCATCGGCCTTATCGATTCAATCGACCTCATTATTTTTATTAGTTCTAGCGGCTCCTTCGGCCTCATCGGCTTCATTGGCCCCATCGGCTCCGCGTCCCATCGGCTCCAGTGGTTTTA